GACAGCAATATGCATCTAAACAGGTTTTCTGACCAATTGACATTAAAATAACATAGAGAAGACAAACATATTGGAATAAGTGCTTGGAGCTCAGGGACGATCTTGGCAAGCCATGTGTAAATAAACCAAAACATTAGGAGGTAATGTGGTGTGAAACTCTGCCGTCTTTGGGGCCGGCTAAAACAGAGAGTTAATAAAATGCCATTTGAGGAGGTCACTGACAGATAAGCTTGCGTTCCTTCCTAGAAATAATACCACGCTCAATTACTTTGTTATTTCCTAATTCATAGCAAAATGACTAGTTCTATTAGTGGGACACGGGTCCAAACATTTCCACTTTGGTGAAATAGGATGTATTTTCCTATACAATTGCATTTTCTCAAATACAAGATGAGAAAGGTGGGTAAAGAGGATAAGCATTGACAAAAGCTCAGGTAGCTTTCAGACATACTGGAACACCATTAACTGTACTGTAGTGGAAAGGAATACAAACATTGGACTGTGCCTACTGATGTGATATTCATTTTAAAATGTTAAAGAGTTCAATTTGAACAGCAAATATTGCATAGAAATGTCGACCCGTGTTGGAATTGATTTATTGCGTCAGGTGGACTATGATCTTGGGAGAGGTCAGTGTGTTCTAAGGGAAATGAAAACAGTTTGCATTAGATGGAACAGCTTAGGCCTCAGGCCATCAGTGCATGCAGAGCTGGAGACAAGGACACTGCTGTTGCTATGGAGGACTACACCTTGCTATGCTATTTTTCGCTCCTGTACAACATACGTGTAAAATCTTGCAGTAAACATTGTAGCATGATTGTCGCTACAACTATCCTCACTCAATTTGAATGCTTTCAGATGGCATCCTATGAAGGATACGGTGGTATTTTTAGCCCTCCAATGGCATAGCCTACAACTGCTCAATCATAAACAAATCACTGTCGAAAGTCATTTAAATATGAAAATCTATATCATAAATATTAGCCTCAAAGTCATTCCAATTTAGAGGCCATAATAAGTCATGCTACAAAATCCATTTAAAAAGCAGATGCTCACAACATCTGTTGCCCGAATCAAACGCATGAATTCTCAGAAACAATAGGATCATATCTTGAAACACATGAGCTTCAGGGTATTCAAATGGTTATATTTCATGTGGCACACAGCTAGGAGTGAGAACAAAAACGCAACACAGTAAACAGGAATTCGAAAAGGGGATTTTGTCATTGCGCATAAAACACAAGACATCATTGTACCCCAATATGCCGGTCTTATCTTGGCTTTAGTTTTCCACAAAGCCCATAACCACTGTGGCCAAGACCACCGGGAGAATAATGTTTGACCAGATGCTTTTTCCATTGGACCAATTTGCCTTGTTAAAAGCCCAGCGCAAATATTCATATCATCTGTGACCTTTGATTCAATCTGTAAAATAAATATAGCTCATGAGAAGCAAATGACCATTCTTTATACTGATAAGATGGATACACAAGCTAATCCATTCAATAAATGTGGGTCAATGTCAGCAAGGACACCTACAAAAAGATGGTGAAATTACTATTCAAATGATGGTAAACTTCTTCAATATCAGTGCAAATATGCAAACTCCATTTACATTGTTAAACCCTGCCTAAGTGCTCCCTCTGATCACAGAGACCATTATTCATCCACTAACCACGCTGTGTCAGGGTGGTCCCTGGGAGTCCATCCCACTATTAGTGCTTTGATCCACTGTGCACTCAACCAGCACAGCTCCAACCCCAGGGGAGTGCTTTCCTCTCATTGCTCCTAACAAGTGTAGGTAGACCATTGGAGGGCCGAGGGCTGTGGCCAGTGTCACCTTGCCACAGTGAAAAAGGCAAAGCTTTCTTTCCTTCCAAGACTATAATGGAACGAGTCCACAAAATGTCCTCAGCATGAGTGCCGTGGAGTCCACTTGAATGTTATAGCGAACCGGACCCTGTATCCAAGAAGTGCTAGCATATATTGCACCATCAAATACATCTGTCAATACATTAGTAGAGCCAGAAGCGTGTAAAGGTTTCTGAGAAAACTGACCCAACATCCACAATAATTCATAGATGGGGGAACAATAGGACTGAGCTTTGAGAATGAGAAATGCTGCAGGACCAAATGAATCACTCCCTTACCAACATCCATGGCTGTTTCCATGAAACTCTTCTGTCTGGAGGCAAACTCAGCCAGGAGTTTCTGCTGTCTCTCTCGAGCCCTCTGACGCCTGAAAGGAAAACAAAACTTAAAATCACAGAAGATTTCTTACATTTAAAACTGTCATCAATACAAAAGTCACAGTCAAACCATTTCACATAACTGTCAAAGTGTTGCATACCGTGGAAATAGTCTGAAACTCGTGGTGACAGCACCACAAATAAAACAAACAAAACATCTTATGGAGTTATTCTAATCAAATCAAATTCTATTTGCCACATGCGCCGAATACAACAGGTGTAGACATTACAGTGAAATGCTTACGTACAAGCCCTTAACCAACAATGCATTTTTTAAGTGTTAAGTAAAAAAATTAAAGCAAATAACTAAAGAGCAGCAGTAAAATAAAATATCAGTAGGGAGGCTATATACAGGGGGTAATATGTACTTAAAATAGAGTGCTGAGGCATATGGCCCAGGCTTCCATTATTCTGATGCAGGACTAATGCCTATTCTCTTCACTGATGGGGTTAACCCATCTCCATAGCAACAGCTTCCATGGGTAAGTGGAAATGCTTGGTTTTATTAAAACACTGAAAGCCCTTCTCTCACTGGCTAGCCATTAAATCACCACCACTCACCCACCAGTACATTACCATTTCCAGAGAGTGTTTTTCATCAGACGCCACCACAAAAGGCATACTAGATCATGTGAGATTGGCTTTGTAGCATTGGACAATGATACATACAAACTAGAAAGTAAGAGTCTATTTTGAACAAGGCTACAGTATGTGACTGGGTGCTGGGCTGTGAAGGTGATTATTTCCTTAATGTGGCTGGCGGTAGCTCCTGTGCAGACTTGAAGGGAGCAGGGTTGACTGTAAATAGAGACCCCTAATAAGAGGACATAAACAAATGGTGACAGGAGTGTCACAGCTCAGTAATTCCCACTGACAGCTTCAGGGGCACAGACAGCCCGCCTGAGAAATGTGCAGCACCCCCTTTCGGCTTCCTCTGCCATTGGCTGGCCCACAGTCGCCCTGGCAACGGCCCGATAGCAGGGCTCTACACTGACATTTTATTTGATTTTTTTTTTTTACAAGGAGCACGTATGCGCCTAAATTGAAGAATGTAGGCTCACAAAGAAATTTACTAGCACAATTTTAAATATTTGAGATATTAAAGCTAGAATCTTATATTATTCTAGGCACACTGGTGCTCCCAAATAAAAATTGCAGGTCGCTCAGCAAAATATTTAGGTGCATAGACGAGTAAAATGGTCGCACTGTAGAGCCCTGAGGTGCTACCTTTGTCTTTGTCTGCGGGCCGAGTCAACCCCAGGGGGCTTACAGAATACAAATTCATACTCTGCAGATGCCCTTTGAACAACTTCAAAAGAGTTTCTCATTTCAAAAGCTAATAAAGTCCTCACATTGAAACCTTTTAACGTTGATTATTATATTACAATTTAAGTGTTGTAAAATAAAGTGACACCACATAAGTTGGTGATGATGGTTTTGCAAACGGAGTGAGCGCCTGTAACAAACCTCTCCTCCTTATCCATGGTCTTCTTGGCAGTGGGGCTGTTCTTCTTGGGAGCGACGGGAGGAAAGACCTTCCCACAGATCTCCTGGATGCTGCGCTTGCTCTGGTGGCTGCGCCTGGCCGCCTTGGTGAGGATGCGCTCGATGGCGGTGATGCCGTCCCCGTGGACGTGGCGGTTTGGGTTGGCGTCCATGTCCTCCAGCCAAGTGGCCGACAGAGAGTTCTGCTTGGCCGACAGCTTCTGGTGCAGCTTGATGAGCAGGGAGAGCATGCTCTCGTGGATCTCCAGGATCTCGGTGACCAGCTGGGGAGGCGTGCCGGGCGGGACCCAGCGCGTGGAGCTGCTCTTGGGCCGCACCACCTGGCTAGCCTCGGTGCTGTTGCGGTTGATGATCTCCTGGAACTTCCTCCGGCGCTCCGCCACCAGGCTGAACACCTGCGCCTCCCGCACATTCTACAATAGCAGAGGCACACATCAGATCTCTCTCCTACACACACACACAGACCTGCTTTCCAAACAATGGCCCTCTCAATAAACACATGCAGATGATGGGGAACAAGAGACACCCATGTGACCACCTTTCCTTCCAATTCATCCGGTCCTTGTCAAAACGCTGTGTTTCATGTACACGACACAAATGCCAGCGAGTTCAAACACTGCTCAAATAAAACATCACAGAAAGCCATTTTGGCATGATGGATCCTGACTCCCTACATTAGAGGGAGGACATGCTAGTTCATATTTTGAGAAAATTCAACACCCCCCCCGCCTTACACGTGAAAAACGTTGTGATAACCTGCCCTGACAATGGACGGGAGCACTGTTAAATAAACATACATCACACAGCCCAGTCGGAGCGCCATCAATCAAGGTGACATGCAGTTAAAAAGCGTTTACCCAGAATCACATTATACACTTAATTAGTTTCAACCCCATCAGAGCAAAACACTACACACAAAAAAACAACAAAAAAAAACAGACTGCAACCTAAAAATGGCTACAAATCATAAGACACAAACATGAAGAGAATAACGTTGTCATGAGTTTTTACACAACGGTCAGAACAGAACACACTGCAAGGCCCTGAGGACATCAACCAGGTCTTTCTAATAAGACCAAACAAACACTCAAATGCAAACAGCTACCTCTCTCCAATTCCCTGTCAGACGCCTGGAATTCTGTGGAACAAAAGTACGGCAAAACAACATACGTAAGTGCCTTTAACACATATGACCCTGGCAAAGAGCGACCTCTCCACAACAAAAGAGGATACGACAGGCTACATAATACAAAAATACCCAGTATACCGAACACATTGAAGGAACATTATACCTCATCTACCCTGAGGCAAGCAATTCTGAGCACAGACTCTGAACATGACCTGTACAGTAGTATGAATACATGAGTCGAGGCAGTACCACCCAGTGTGCAGGCAGGGTATAGACAGGATGTTATCTGACCTGGCCGAAGTTGGACGCCTCAGCGCTGGTGCTGGCAGGGGGCTCCCGCTCCCTCTTCACCTCGGGGGCAGTCTCAGGCACCCTCACCCTAACGTAGTTGATGACATGGTGCAGGTTGGACAGGAGGTTGGTGCCTGGGAACCAGCTGTCATGGCAGTGCTCTTCAATGCAAGGCTCCTAGTCACAGAACATGAGGCAGGAGGTTAATGTGAAGAACACATAGGAAGAAACTAGAGGAAACTAATGAACGTAGTCTTTGAGTGGCTGAAAGTCTAACCTCATCCTCCTTGTCCTCTTGAACCTGGTTGTCCAAGCCCAGCTCAATCAGGTAGAGCACCATGCACAGAACGTGCTCAGACATGTTGGAGTGATCCAGCCAGATCTAAAACAAAACACTTCATTATAGTTCTGCCAAATTCAACCATAGGGCAATCTCACCATCAGTTATATCAAAGACAATGAAATTCGGATGCACAGGTGTTTGAGGGACAAATAAAGCGATTAATAATATGAATGAAGAGAGGTGTTGGAAGGGTCACCTTGTAAAGCAGTGTGAAGATGACAATGTGCAGCGTCTTGCAGTGTAACAGCCTATCCAGGCCTTTGTAACATAGGTGCAGAGGAGTCCGCTCTTTGTAAGGCGGCCATGGATTCCCTGTCGTGTGCATCCCAGACTGTTTCAAGCTGGATACAACAACAAATCAGGTAAATTCCAAGCAATAATACGGTCAATTCAAAAGAACAATCAATAGAGATCAATCCAACATCACAAACACATAGGTAATAATGTGACATTAAATAATCTCCCGAGTAATTTACCACACAAAACCTTTGCCTATGGGCTCCCAAGTGGCGCAGCGGTCTAAGGGGGGGGGGGGGGGGGGGGGGGGGCTTTACTTGGCTCATCGCGCTCTAGCGACTCCTTGTGGCAGTGTTTCCTCCGACACATTGGTGCAGCTGGCTTCCGGGTTAAGCGCGCCTGGTTGTCCAAGCCCAGGGGTCACCTTAAGCGAGCGTTAAGAAGCGCGGTTTGGCGGGACATGTTTCGGAGGACGCATGACTCGACCGTCTCCTCTCCTGAGCCCGTTGGGAAGATCGTAATCACGTAATTGGGGATAATAAATGCACTTTGTCTACGCAATGTAACAGCCGATCAGCTGAAAAGTCTCACGGTTATATAAAATGTGGCCTGGCTGACAGGCAATCCATCATATTCAAACAGTGTGAACGAGTAACATAAGCCTGATATCACAGACGGAGGTGGGGAAATATGATAACCTGTCATGACACCACGTTTACTACGCTCCGTACTAGAATGTAGTTTTGATGAAGTGATAATCTAAAAATACCAAACAGAAATAATAATAATAATAATAATAATATGCCATTTAGCAGACACTTTTATCCAAAGCGACTTACAGTCATGCGTGCATACATTTTTTTTGTGAAATCAAAATTATTCTTATTTCTTGTTCAACATGGATTGAATTGCTTGGATTTCTAAAATTGCCTTTGTTCAATATAGCCTACATTTGGTATTGAAGAAATCATAGAGAAAAAAAACAAAAAAAACATTACCCATGTAATCTTTCCTTGCCCTTAAACTGCTATTTCAAATTAAGAAGGGCTGCCAGGAGAGGACACTTCAGTATATTTAGTCACTTCACATCTTAAAGAGATCTTCAGGAAATTAACCTAACAGTATAGCTTTCACCCCAACCATCACATTTGTCTTCGGAGACGTCCAACCTAAATCTAACAAGAAAGGATTTCCTCAATTCTATTACAGTTTGCCATTAAGACATTTAGTTCACTGTCGAGTAAAATCATTGGAACCAACCCTATCACTATGTTGGCCTAACCCCTCTCTTCCCTCCCTTCAAGGGCAGGTGGGAACAGCGACCCTGTAAGTCTAATTTTTCCATCTATAGAACATTGCCAGGTTACAACCTATGCCATCACAACCTGCAGCTGAGCGACTCATCCATGCCTTTATTTCATCCCGTCTGGACTATTGTAACGCCCTTTTTGTTGGCGCATCTGTCAAGTGCCTAAACAGGCTACAATATGTCCAGAAATGTGCTGCACATGTCCTCAACCACACCTCCCCTCACGAGCACATTACTCCAGTGCTGTTCAACCTCCACTGGCTCCCCATATGCTCACGCATCGACTACAAAATCCTGGTTCACATCTACCAAGCTATCCACAACTCTGGACCCAAGTACCCGTCTGACCTCATTCTACCCTCCTGCACTACACGCACCCTTTACTCCTCCAGGTCCATCTCCCTTCAGCAGCCCTGCAACAGACTAAAAACTATGGGTGACAGGGCTTTCAGTTGCGCGGCTCCACGGCTATGGAACACACTTCCAGACACTATTAAGGCTGCAGAGTGTCTGTCCTTCTTTAAGGCACAGATCAAGACCGTGCTGTTCAGAAAAGCTTTCAAGAACCTCTGCTAATTCTGTTCTCATGTCGTCCGAATCTGGCGACACCTGTATACAGCTTTGATTTTTGTCTGTGTTCTAGGTTTTGGATTGTTTTTATTATTATTAATTTTTTTATTGCACCTTGGGTCTGAGAAAAGCACTTTACAAATTTAAAAAAGTATTATTATTATTATTATTATTATTATTATTATTAAGCAGGGCATGACACCCACCCGCTCGGTTTGACAATACTGAATGTACTGTTAAAATAACTATGTATTCATAAATAGTCATTCAAAACCTGAACACTATTCACATGCTTTAAAAAAAACATTAACTTCTTGCTGGAGACAATGCACTTAGTGACTGTTAACTTACAATGCTGAGTATCTGTCCATTGCTGACTGGACATCACGACGGTAGACTGTTCTGAGAATAACCATGATGGGGTCAAACTCCTTCTCCCACACCTCCGCTGGAAAAAAAAGACCAATCCTTTAGGAACACCTGCTAAAAAGTCACGTTGACATACAATTCATTATTTTTTTCTCCTGAGCGCTCAGAAAGTGGTTTTAGCCTGCCCCCAAGTGGAATGTGCTATGACAGTAAATTTGGAGTCGCAATGGCAATGACTGTGTATAAACTTCAATTTAAAACAAAATCATAAGGCTGACATTAGTATAGGACACCTAATGAGCCAAATCCTGATCTGATACCATAAAAGGGACAATGCTTTATAACAGCCATGGACTTAAAAAGACACTGCTCTCAGCAATGGCCTATATCAGGTAATAGGGGAGAAAAAGGGTATTGATGTAACTGCCTGAAGGGCATCACAATTTCAAACGTGTGCAGGGCAATAATTAAGTCTTCAACAGGGACCTTGTCTTGATTCAGTCTTGTGATTTGTGCAAGTCCTTAGGTTTCTGCATGGGTAAAACTATAGTCAATTGTGGTGCATGAGTGCCCTCTCAAGGCAGACTGGTGAAAAAGCACCTGTGATTATGTTGAATGGAAAACAATATGCTTGGTGTTGATCCAACAAAGCCTTTGGACAGCATGTATTCATTAGTCACACATCGTAGCAAAACTTTTGCACCGTAGTAAAACGTTTTGAAGTGAAAACAAGAGTTTCTATTGGACAAATTCATGTAGGTCCCTCCCTGTTGAGTTCTGTTTGCTTACGTTCTTTACCTAGTGAACACATCCCAAGCCAGGAGCTACAACAGACAACTTACCTTTAGGTGTGTACATGCCCTGCTGCATGGAACCCCCTAGTTCAAACACGGGGGCTTTGAAGTCAGCCACGGCCGACAGCATCTCCTCAAAGCTGCAACTTCCTGGAACAATCCCACTCTTGGGGTTGGGATTCTCAGGAATCTGAATATTCACTTCAGGAAAGTATGCAACCAGGCAAATGTGCAGCATAATAAAGGTGATCCCAAAAAGTGAAAATGCAAGACTGTTTGCTGCGTGTTAAAATATGCAATTTTACATCGATTAAACTAGTCACAATCAAAGTCACATGTACCAACAGGGGGAAGGTCTGATGAAAACAAGGTGTTTTGGTGGGTTTTCCAATTTGTAGAACAGTGACAACACAATTACACATTCTACCAAGGGAACAAACAAGCTCTTCAGAAAAACATTTACCACTGACCACAGAAAATCTAGAGACCAAATATACAGCGAACAACAACTCATAATGAGAATCAAAGTGAGAACATACTGACCACGGGTAAGGATATTAAATTAATTATACTGGGAATTGTGAGGCTGATAAAACAGTGAGGATACGAGGTCCAACAGTGAACTGTGGGTACGATCGTTCATGCACAGTTGGGAGACCATCTCGGCTCGGAGAATCTCATCATCTGACATGCCTATCAATGAGAGGGAGAAATATTCATTACAAATGTATAATCTATGGATAATGCCAATATAGTCAGCATGATACAAATATTCCAATTGTTTTTCATGTACAATTTCCTTCTCCCTTGTTGTACCTGCACTTACCCAAGTGGATGCGAAGACTGGACAAGATGACGAGAAACGTCAAGGCTCCCTCCAGCATTGGCCTCTCCTGCTCACCGTCCAGTACAGTATTCTGGTGCACAGAGGCCATGGTCAACAGGTCCACCACTTTGAATCTGTATATGAAATACATGTTACTGCCAGTAAAACCTGTGGGCTACTCTTCATCAAGTTATTAAAAATTGGATTTTTCAATGGGTGATGATAAACAAGGTCAATCAAGTTCAGCGAAAAATGACAAATCGAAAGGACTTTTCCAACAGGTCCGACCGTACCTCTCGAACACTGAAGAAATGAAGTAGTCGGGATCTAGCCTTGACGCACACACCTATCGACAGATTGGTAAGAACATTTTTAGAATGGAGTTTATGACATTATAACAATCCCTAATGTTGCAATCACCTTGAAGAAAGTAGTCTATACCTGGAGCAGAAAGATGTCTGGATCGATCATAGAGTTGCAGAAGTGAGACTGCACGTAGGTCATAGCCTGTCCTTTGATTTGCAGACCATTTCTGACCCACATGTTACTGTGGATCTCTGACAGGCTTGCCTATAAGAAAAACACAAGGGACATTAACATAAAATGCAATGTACCTACTGTATACAGTACATTGAACAAACATTAAGGCATCTCCAGAGTACACAGTCACACAGGAATCCTTTAAAACAGCCAGTCCTCCTACTCATATACACTAAAGGTCAATAGTTTTAGAACACCTACTCATTCAAGGGTTTTTCTTTATTTTTACTATTCTCTACATTGTAGAATAATAGTGAAGACATCAAAACTATGAAATAACACATATGGAATCATGAAGTAACCAAAATAGTGTTAAACAAATCAAAATATGTTTTATATTTGAGATTCTTAAAATAGCCACCCTTTGCCTTGACAGCTTTGCACACTCTTGGCATTCTCTCAACCAGCTTCATGAGGTAGTTACCTGGAATGCATTTGAATTAACAGGTGTGCCTTCTTAAAAGTTAATATGTGGAATGTATTTCCTTCTTAATGTGTTTGAGCCAATCAGTTGTTTTGTGACAAGGTAGGGGGGGGGGGGGGGGGGTATACAGAAGATAGCTCTATTTGGTAAAATACCAAGTCCATATTATGGCAAGAACAGCTCAAATAAGCAAAGAGAAACGACAGTCCATCATTACTTTAAGACAAGAAGGACAGTCAATACGGAACATTTCAAGATCTTTGAAAGTTTCTTCAAGTGCAGTCGAAAAACCATCAAGCGTTATGATGAAACTGGCTCTCATGAGGACCGCCACAGGAATGGAAGACCCAGAGTTACCTCTGCTGCAGAGGATAAGTTAATTAGTTACCAGCCTCAGAAATTGCAGCCCAAATAAATGCTTCACAGAGTTCAAGTAACAGACACATCTCAACATCAACTGTTCAGAGGAGACTGCGTGAATCAGGCCTACAAGGTCGAATTGCTGCAAAGAAACCACTACTAAAGGACACTAATAATAAGAAGAGACTTGCTTGGGCCAAGAAACACGAGCAATGGACATTAGACCGGTGGAAATTTGTTCTTCGGTCTGGAGGCCAAATTTGAGATTTTTGGTTCAAACCGCCGTGTCTTTGTGAGACGCAGTGTGGGTGAACGGATGAGCATGGAGGAGGTGTTATGGTCTGGGGGTGCTTTGCTGGTGACACTGTCTGTGATTTATTTAAAATTCAAGGCACACTTAATCAGCATGGCTACCACAGCATTCTGCAGCGATACGCCATCCCATCTGGTTTGGGCTTAGTGGGACTATCATTTGTTTTTCAACAGGACAATGACCCAACACACCTCCAGGCTGTGTAAGGGATATTTTACCAAGAAGGAGAGTGATGAAGTGCTGCATCAGATGACCTGGCCTCCAAATTGAGATGGTTTGGGATGAGTCGGAACGCAGAGTGAAGGAAAAGCAGCCAACAAGTGCTCAGCATATGTGGGAACTCCTTCAAGACTGTTGGAAAAGCAGTCCAGGTGAAGCTGGTTGAGCAAATGCCAAGTGCGCAAAGCTGTTATCAACGCAAATGGTGGCTATTTGAAGAATCTAAAATATTAAATATATTTTGATTTGTTTAATACTTCTTTGGTTACTACATGATTCCATATGTGTTATTTCATAGTTTGATGTCTTCACTATTATTCTACAATGTAGAAAATAGTAAAAATAAAGAAAAACCCTTGAATGAGTAGGTGTTCTAAAACTTTTGACCGGTAGTGTATTTAAAAGACACTAATAACTGTTTGGGTATAAGGGGGAAGTCAGCCTTTCCTTTTCAGACATTGTGTGACATTCACCCACAACTTCTTCTGATATTTGAGGCATTATCAAGGCATTGAAATTACATGTGTAATGGTCCTGTATTGGTGCAATACCTGAATCTGGAGTGGATGGACCATGATCCTCATGAGCATCTCTTGGTCTGGGAGTAGACTCTCCAGGTCAAGCCCCTGGCACTTCACTGCCTGTGAGACAATATACACAGTCAACTCACTGCAAAAGAGGACTTAAAGCGGTAGGAACAGAACTTATAAAGTGTTATAGATCTACCATACCTTGCTTAGGAACATGGCGTAGTAGCGGTGCAGTGGCAGGTGAAACGTCACTTGATTTGGAGCAAGCTACAGAGAAACAGAGACCAGATATAAACACTAAAGGAAACGTTGGTCTACAAATGCTTCCTGACTGTTGTGCATATTTGCGGAGTTACCTCATCTACAAAGCCAATGGCATCAAACCAGATCTGCAGAGTCTCCAAGCAGTAACGCACCACCGTTTTGGTATATTCCTGTGTCTCCTGCAAATAAACAATGATTCATGGTGTAATCATTTTCCTAACGGTTTCTGTGCATAACACCTGAATGTCAAATAGCTTTAATGTGATGTGCATTATATTTAAGAGGGATATTGGACTCACTTTGACTTTGCAGTGTGTGAGGAGACCCCACATTGGTTGTGCGCAGGCCTCCAACTCTGCTGCAAATGCTGCATAGTATGTCTGGGACTCAAACTCCACGTGCTCACTCAACTCCCGCTTATTCAAGTTCATACCTACAGGACCAGACAAGAGCTTTCAGGGTTAGTCATCACATAACAGATAGCATTACAGTGGTCTCATTCACTAAAACAGCTTAAGGGACACAAAGACAAAGCAATGTTAACCTGGAAAACATATTTGTTGACATCTAGATAAGTCTAAGAATGGGGGGAAACCCATGTATGTAAGGGCAGTCTACACTCACATAGTGGCACTATGCTCTCTGCACCTTGCCTAAGTAAGTGGATACTCCAGCCCACAGTATCTGCGGCCAGGGGTTATTTTTAGGGTTATGGTGGACACAGCAGGAGTGCTGCACAGACAACAATTCAAATAGACACAAGGCCTGTGTTTGAGAGCATTCAATCCATGATGCATTGTGGGAAAATGGTGACTGACTGATCTACAAATAATGAGTATTTATTTATGATGCAGTCAGTCGGCAGTCACCTGCTGCAATTTAGAAAGAGCCCAAGGAGTCACATGCGCCATAATTGTCTTTGTCAGGTTCAATTACTATAAGAGTAAAATATAAAGTTGCCTTCGATGTGCCATAACATCCGTTTTGCTGGACATCTTGCTCAGCTATAGCAATTTGTGACCAACTATATAAGCAGTGACTACCATCAACGGAAGGGAATAACAGAGGGCTAATATTGCATCATATGACTAAGCAGATAGTAACGGTCCAATGCAGCCGTTTTTATCTCAATATCAAATCATTTCTGGTTACCTTACTGTGATTGTTTTCAATTAAAATTGTCAAAAATAGCTTCTTAGCAAATTTCTCAAGCAATAATTTTGCTAGGACTTTCTGAGAGTGGTCTGATTGGGGAGGGGAAAACTGAAAACGAGCCGTTATTGGCAAAGACGTTTGGAACTCTTTCTTATTGGTCTATTAACCAATTTACAGCCTGGTGATGTAACCAGTCAGGCCAAAACACCCTCTCTCCAAAACAGGCTGACATTTCTGGCGGTCTTTTCAAACAGCTCTTACACTAAAAAGGCAATATCATAGTTTTCACAATTTCACAATATTATTCCAACCTAGTGTAGAAATATATATAAAAACACAGGAAAAAAATCACATTTTTGACTACATTGGGTCTTTAACAGAGACAGATGACAGTATGACTCGAATAGATAAAGATCATACTAAAATCACACCAGCTATGCTACCAGAGAATAATGATTAGTCATCCTTGGGGCAAATGCTGACACATAACACAGTCCCAACTACCGCTGCTATTCAGATTCTTAAATCCACAGGGAATTACCTTGAAAGAAGGACACAAAGCTCATCCACAGCATGAGCAGTGAGTGGTCCTCCAGGAATTTCTTTGCTACACTTTGGTGTGAGAGAATATTAATAAAATCGCTAACTAAAGGCCAGTAAGTATTGTTCTTCAGCAGAGCCTCGCTGCAGTTTACCACAACATGGCGGCTGTTCTCTTCATCTGAAAATAAGGAAAAGAGTGACAGAACACAATTAGGCTCAGTAGTGTGGGAAGCAGTTTAGATTCATGAAGTCAGTGAAACAATCCACTCATCAGTATGGTCATTTAAACATAGCTCACCTTGAAGTTCACTTTTGATGAGGCAACTCTCCATCATGTAGAGGAGGACAGTGACCATGATGTCTAGTAGTTGACACTCCTCCGTCACATGACGTGCTAGGTCCTCATTGCTGAACAGCTGTACACTGATATGTACGATGCGGTTGGACATGGTATCCGACTCATGGCTTTTCATCAGAGTTTTCATAATAAATGCATAATGTTGAACAAATGTTTTCGTGAAGGTGATCTACAAAGCAAAAAAAGGACAACAAACAGGTAATAATGTTCTACATTCTACAGTCATAACAGCTTCTCTAAGCAAGAATGCAGCAGAGCCACTACACTTAGCTACAACCTGAAAGACATACCTTGTAGTCTTGATCTGGCAGCATGTTCAGTAGAAAAGTAACCATCTTCTGAGGAAACTCGTACTTTATTGTCCAAAACAGCAACTCCTCCAGAAAACATTTGTGTTTAAGAGAGTCCATAATGGATGGATCTAAGGACAGAATATACATTATTCTAACTGGTGTCTCCAGCCAATATTGAGTTTCACATAAAATATCAGTGTATTATTCATCATTACATAGAATGTAATGCATGTTATGTAAATTACCTTTGGTAGTGCTACTAAGTTTCACCCTCTTTCTCTGTCCAATAGATTGCTCCCCATCTTGATCCTCCTTTAAGAAAAACATAATGTGAAGTATTATAACTACTGTATCTATATTTCAATACTGAGAAGGCTAACTATTCTGATACAGTATTCACATACCTCTTTATTGGACTCATCAGGGCTGGCTGGTGCTGCGGCTCCTAAGGAAAACAGAGCGGAGACGGATGGCTGCCATTACTTCATTATTTCCTCGATTAATGAGTAATTGAGAAACACTACTTCCATTATGTTTCCATACTACAAAAACATGGCATGCAATCAGGGACTATTTTGAGCTCCAACTCCTAAAAGAGGGGATGAGGTCTTACCCTGTAAGACCAGAGCCCCTGTCTCAGCCCCTTGTGTGGGCTCTGCAGCCCCAGTCTGGGCCTTCTCCTCCACAGACACCAGGCCTGAGTTCTTCAGTGCTGACAGGTAGTTCTCGTAGTTCTTTTTTGCATATACATTCTCTTCTTGACCTACAGGGCATATTTACATATGAGATATTTATTAAACTAATAGACATTCATTAGCATAACACCAATGGCATGTGTGGAGCATTGAATCATTATTGTTTGGCAATATTGATTAGTATAATTTCACCTTTTGATAGTTCCCCCCCCAATGGTCAGAATAACATTCAACCAATGGCTTTACGAGAAAGTGGAAACAGACATACAGTTGAAGTCGGAAGTTTACATACACTTAGGTTGGAGTCATTAAAACTCGTTTTTCAACCACTCCACACATTTCTTGTTAACAAACTATAGTTTTGGCAAGTTGGTTAGGACATCTACTTTGTGCATGACCCAAGTAATTTTTCCAACAATTGTTTACAGACAGATTATTTCACTTATAATTCACTGTATCACGATTCCAGTGGGTCAGAAGTTTATACACTAAGTTGACTGTGCCTTCAAACAGCTTGGAAAATTCCAGAAAATGATGTCATGGCTTTAGAAGCTTCTGATAGGCTAATTGACATCATTTGAGTCATTGTAGTCCCGTGTAGCTCAGTTGGTAGAGCATGGCGTTTGCAATGCCAAGGTTGTGGGTTCGATTCCCACGGGGGGCCAGTATGAAAATGTATGCACTCACTAACTGTAAGTCGCTCTGGATGAGAGCGTCTGCTAAAATGACTAAAAAATAAATAAAAATTGGAGGTGTACCTGTGGATGTATTTCAAGGCCTAACTTCAAACTCAGTGCCTCTTTTCTTGACATCATGGGAAAATCTAAAGAAATCAGCCAAGACCTCAGATTTTTTTTTTTACACCTCCACAAGTCTGGTTCATCCTTGGGAGCAATTTCCAAACGCCTGAAGGTACCACGTTCATCTGTACAAACAATAGTACGCAAGTATAAACACCATGGGAACACGCAGCCGTCATACCGCTCAGGAAGGAGACGCATTCTGTCTCCTAGAGATGAACGTACTTTGGTGCGAAAAGTGCAAATCAATCCCAGAACAACAGCAAAGGACCTTGTGAAGATGCTGGAGGAAACAGGTACAAAAGTATCTATATCCACAGTAAAACGAGTCCTATATCAACATAACCTGAAAGGCCGCTCAGCAAGGAAGAAGCCACTGCTCCAAAACCGCCATAAAAAAGCCAAACTACAGTTTGCAACTGCACATGGGGACAAAGATCGTATTTTTTGGAGAAATGTCCTCTGGTCTGATGAAACAAAAATAGAACTGTTTGGCCATAATGACCATTGTTATGTTTGGAGGAAAAAGGGGGTCGTTGCAAGCTGAAGAACACCATCCCAACCGTGAAGCACGGGGGTGGCAGCATCATGCTGTGAGGGTGCTTTGCTGCAGGAGGGATTGATGCACTTCACAAAATAGATGGCATCATGAGGAAGGAAAATTATGTGGATATATTGAAGCAACATCTCAAGACATCAGTCAGGAAGTTAAAGCTTGGTCGTAAATTGGTCTTCCAAATGGACAATGACCCCAAGCATACTTCTAAAGTTGTGGCAAAAATGGCTTAAGGACAACAAAGTCAAGGTATTGGAGTGGCCATCACAAAGCCCTGACCTCATTCATATAGAACATTTGTGGGCAGAACTGAAAAAGCGTGTGCGAGCAAGGAGGCCTACAAACCTGACTCAGTTACACCAGCTCTGTCAGGAGGAATGGGCCAAAATTCACCCAACTTATTGTGGGACACTTGTGGAAGGCTACCCAAAACATTTGACCCAAGTTAAACAATTTAAAGGCAATGCTACCAAATACTAATTGAGTGTATGTAAACTTCTGACCCATTGGGAATGTGATGAAAGAAATAAAAGCTGAAATATATCATTCTCTCTACTATTATTCTGACATTTCACATTCTTAAAATAAAGTGATGATCCTAATTGACCTAAAACAGGGAATTTTAACTAGGATTAAAATGTCAGGAATTGTGAAAAACTGAGTTTAAATGTATTTGGCTAAGGTGTATGTAAACTTCCGACTTCAACTGTATTTACCCATGCTCAGGTCCTTGAATGTTTGCTGATTCGTTAGGATCTTTGTCAGCACAGTTCTCATTGCTCCTCCCATCTTCGTCAGTTCTTCTAGGAAGGAGATCTGGGGCTCCAGCTGTTGTAAGACCTTCTGTAGGTCCCTCTCAGTTGATGTGTCTGTGAGTCCAAGGTATGATAAAAGTTATGAAATTAAATGTGGCAGAAGGGCTCATGAATACAAGCAGAATTACCTACATAAGTTGTAAACTAACAATTTCTCCACAATGTTTTGTTTTGTTCTCTGAGGGCTGTTTAATTGCAATCAGCTATGAAAGGTGCTTTTAGGGTATCCTGTAGACATAGTGAGATGCTGTTTCTCCCACCTGGTTCAGTGTATCCATCCCTTAGGTACTGTATGATACAGATGATGAAGCGAGGTAGGACCATCTCTGGCATCAGTAGTAAGTCTCGGGGGACTGAAGGCACATTCTCCCCGGTTCTTAACCGATGCCGTCTGCAAAACCTGACAGAGGACAACATCCATATATGTTTATTTCATAACCAAGAGAAGTACCTACAATTCATTGTGTTAGTATTTGGGAACAATTACTGGACAACCTATCTAATGGACACTAGCAGTGTATTTTGTCTTCCTTTGATAATGCTAAATGACATGCATTATAATTTAGGCTACTAGTATTTCTGACTGCCTTGAACAAAATGTTGTGCCATGTCATCCATCAAACAAACAAAATAACTGCAGAAGAGTAAACTAATAACTCAAGAGGAATGGTGGGGAGTAAGCTGCAAAGAGGATATGTTAAAGAGCAACTCGATATGAGTCAGAAACATTTATTCTGTCAAAATGGACGAAAGTGTAAATAGTGTCATTTGTCATAAAGTCATTGTCGTCCAAAACTGAGTTTGTGAGACTTGTGGTCGTGACTGTGTCACAATGTAAATGAAGGTTCGTTTTGTTTCAATCCTGCCCACAAGTGATCATCAATTCAGAGTGCAGCTGCAAGACCCAATCATAATGCCTGTGGTTAATGTGGGTTCACTTTAGATTTACATTGTTTTACATTTTAGTCATTTAGCAGACGCTCTTATCCAGAGCGACTTACAGTTAGTGAGTGCATACATTTTCATACTGGCCCCCCGTGGGAAACGAATCCACAACCCTGGCGTTGCAAGCGCCATGCTCTACCAACTGAGCTACAGATATCCCTTTTGGGCTAGTTAGGGACCATCAGTAAATTACACAATGTACATGGGACAATTTTTAAAATTCCAATAGCTCCAAATTTCAATGACTTAAATGTATAGTTGGTTTGAGTTTAAGTAATTAATATACACATATTGAAATTTTTAATGAGAAAACTAGAATGTGCACAACATGAAAATATTGTCTAATTTACATTGTGTCATTTATTTGGCGGTCCCTAACTAGCCCCAGAGACAGGCTATCCAAAGTCAAACCAACTTCGCCATGGGCTCACACCAGACTGAATATAATTGGCAGAATAATTTGGCTAACTCTTCCCCTCTGTGAACACACACCCACATCAAACCACACCCCAAAACCAACTCACGTTTGAATTTAATCATGGCCGCTAGCATTTCTTAATGAACCAAATCTAAAACGAGGCCAAATCAGGAAGTGCAGTCGCCCTTTAATCTAAACATGACCTGATATGTCACAAGTGATTGAGTTATTCTGCAGGGAAAAAGTGTAATTATCCTAGAAACCTTGTAGGATTAGTTCATTTCAATAGTACAGTATTTGCATTAATAATATAAAATGCAAACCTTTCACAAAAATAGTCACTGACGGGGTTACCTACCCCACAACAGGAAAAACAGGTGTGTATTAATTACAACGATTCTGTTTTGCAACAAACATTTTACTCCAAACAGAAAACGTTTTGCAACGAAAACAAGAGTTTCTATTGGACAAATCCAGGTAGGTCCCTGACCGTTTCGTTCAGTTTGGTTCTTAAAGGTAAACGGTTTCTGTTGCGAGACGTAATGAATACACCTCTGCTGTGTTTATGGCCATTGCTGAAAGCTGTGTGTACTTGACTAGATTGCTGGGGTTTGGGTCCTATGACAGGGACGTGACCTAGCCTCTGATGTTTTGTTAGCTAGCTAACGTTAGCCACGTTATTGAGGCTGCGTTCAGACAGCCCAATTCATTTATTTTTTCGACTAATTGGTCTTTTGAACAACCATATCTTTTTCAAAGTGTTGGGTTCTATTTTTCTCATAATTGGATCTGTATGTGATGAATAACTTAGAAGGAATGCATTAATGATAAGCATAGGTTTGTACTATACTGATATAAATTGTTTCACATAACAGGCTGTGATTCATGTAAGGAACATTAGGGGGTAGGACAGATAAGACTTGTATTTCTTACAGATACGAACACTCTCTCTTTGTTGTCTGTGAAACCGTCCTTGAACGTAGGTACATAGAGTACAGATTGGAAGGGTGTCTTTTGGGTGCTGACTCTACAGGTTATTATGATAGCAACTTATGCCTGGGAACGGTGGAGCGCCAAGGGGTTGGGACTAACCCGTGCGCCAACGGATTGGCTGAGTAAAGTCTAAACCACACTCAGTCCTTTACTCTGATTGGCCAACAGAAGAGGTGGGAACTCTCTGTCAGAGTATTTGAGAAAGAACCTGTAAACAATGGTTTAGTTCTCTGTCTGCCCTGCGTGGTATTTCAGTGAGCCTGTATACGAACCATCATACTTATCATACATACATTTTGCATATAATAAATTTAGCTTGGATTGAATATCTCTTGATTATGTTTTCTCTTATTCCAATACCAGATTTGAATTACGCAATTTCTAACAATTGGTGACCTCTGACTGTGATCTGGTAGCGGAACTTCGCTGGGATTCATCCAGCCTATTGGACATCGCTGTCGTCGAACTGTGTGTTTCACAAAGTGCCCGGGCTTCTAAAAACACAGGTAAGCAGACACCTATTGTTTATATAACTAAAGTTCTGCATATTGGCTTTATCCAAATTAATTTTGTGAAACACCTGTTTGATGTAAGTGAACCCTATTGTACGATAAATAACAATTACAGTATACTACTTCGATTTCATAATATACTATGCAAATGTTTGATAATTGTGATGGTTAAACCCATGGGAGTGCGAGCTATGATAAACTCATAGGAGGTACTTTAAAGTAGATTAGACAGTGCGAGCTATGACTTAAAACTCATAGGAGGTACTATAAAAAGTTAGACAGTGCAAGTGTTGTCGTATGCATGAGAGTGTGAATGATAAACCTGTATACCTTGATAGAAAACTAATTGGGAATTAAAACGTCTGTGGCTGTCCAAACTGTATAATTTGGGGATAACTGTTGGGTTTGTGGTTGCTTAAACCATATAACCCGTTAAAAACAATTGGGAACATAAAGCCAAAGTGATGAATTGTGTGACTGAACTGAAACGGTTGAGCTGATATGTTTGAACTGTGCCGTTTGGTGTTAGACATAGCATAATTCTGGTTTTAGGTGCTTGGGTTGAGGCTTTTTTGTTGATTATTTGATGTAATGTTTGATGTTTGACCCTGCAAAATACTGGTTAAACAATTAGACTGAAATAATTCGGTTGATCGTTTAAATATAAACATGCACCAACTTTAACTAATTAGGTGGGAATCATTTGATTTAAATAAATAGATTAAAGTACTTTAAATAACGACAGAATATTGGAAACACTAAAACGAGAAATAGCTCCTCAAAGCCCACTCCCGCTGGAGAGGGAAGAGAGAGTTGCGAGGGGAGGGGCTGGAGAGAGCGAAAGTGTGGCTTTTGGAGCCAGGAAAGACTGGGAGTTGGCTGGGAACACCACGGGGTGATTATTTGAGAGGTGCATGTGGGTTTCTGATGAGGGATGTTCTAAACTTGCTCACCCGGACGTAGACGTACGTTATGGGTGAGAGAGTAGAGAATATTTACATTTGCATTTTTGGTAATTTGGCAGACGCTCTTGTCCAGAGCGACTTGCAGGAGCGATTGGGGTTGAGTGCCTTGCTCGAGGGCACATCGGCAGATTTTTCGCCTGGTCGGCTCGGGGATTGGAACCGGCGACCTCTCGGTTGTTGGCGCGGCGCTATTGATCACTAAGCTGCCTGCCACCCCATATGAGTTTAAGGTTGTGGCGTTGTTTGATCATGTGATAAGGTTTAATGGGTAATCGGACCATAACTAATGTGGTTATGGAAGTAATGTATCAATAGTGGAGAACCAATAGGGGGCTCCATTGAACTATTATGGTTTATTTGGCATTTCGGTGGCATGAGGCGAAGTCAACGGCTGGTGTGGGTGGTGATCGGATGCTACTGAGTATTTAGTTTGGTAATGTTGAATGGACTATTTGTAGCGTGTTTTGGGGTTAAATAGAAAAACTAACTTATTCAATAGGGAATGGGTGAAGGGAGAGAGAGTTTTTTGCTGAGGTGAAAGCTACTGCGATTTTCATTTGGTGACGTCACTTGCTCTATGAACTGGGAGTAGTTACTTTGAGAGCATCGCAGATGGTGTGGAGTGCCTGGCGATGTATGTAAAGGGTCCCTGGTTCGAACACAGGTAGGGACAGTAGACAAAGCTTTCGCAGTGGGGCTATATACCTAGATTACTATGTGGATTGAGAAATGTGAAAGGTTGAATTAGATAGCTTAAATAGAAGTATTCTAGAAAGGTCTATGAAAATATGTTATAAGGTTACCATGCGCTTTCCCCGAAGGAGCAAGGGGAGGGTGAGAGACAGTACAGTTCAGATGGTAGGAACATCATTAAATGTATGCTTATCAACGATAGCAAGTATTTGTTTTATTAATTAGGGCATAATCAGAGAGAACAGTTAAATAAATTGAATAGCGAACTGAAATGGGTTAGCGGGAAAATATAAATGTTTGGTACATTTTAGAACGATAATGTATTTTGGTTACGTGGATGCAAGTGACATTGGCTGTTGTGATGGGGGAATAGCGCCAGCCTGTGGTGGGTTCTGGAATTGTTACATAAAACAAACGTATATTTTAAACTAAAGTGATGGAGTAGGCTACAATTATAACATTTATCAGAAAAAAGGCACAATTTAATGTGAAATAGTTATTACAATTATTATCATTGATCCAGTAATGATATAAGGATAGTAGAGGAAGGCAGGGGATTTAATCTCATTTAGGGAAGTTATATTAGGAAGAAAATACCATTAAATGAGGGAACATTTGATGTAACCGTGATTGTATTGGCTAAAAACTCAAATATGACATTTACAGGGGGGACAGGAACAATAGAAGGGGAGACAGATTTTCCTAGGGGGTTGAACAAATAATTGATAATGGATCATTTGAGATGAGATCACATGTAGCAGAGTTAGGGTAATCAATTAAATAATCATCGTATACTCGAGGAATTTTGAGTGGTTTTATGGATTAGTTATGAGGAATTAGATTGATACAAACAATTATTGATGGGTTAAGACTGGGGATATCTGTATCATGTTTTGTGTGTACTCCCATTTTTAGATTATAACCAGGAGAAAGAGATTAGCTCATCTCGTTGGAACGTTGCCCAGGGCTAGGGGAGCAGTAGTGAAGTTAGGCAGTATTTAGGTCATAAAAGTGAGCTACCAAATTAAGTGAGGCCTGGCTATTTGTGGTTGTTATTTTTCAAATTGGGTTTTTCAAACAAAAAACAACACACCTAGTATGATGTTTATAAAGCCTTGTTGTTTAAATTTTGGGGGGTTTTCAGCAGGTCAAGGGTGATAGGTCTTAGAGGAGCACACACAGTGAATTTTATGGAGTTTTTTAGGTTTTGGCTGAGTTTGGGGTATATATGATTTCTTATGAGAATGAATGTCATGAGGACTTAATGAACACTTGGGATAACTAAACATTTATGAAAAAGTGTGAAGAAGATTATAATTTGGTAATAATATATTTGATTTGAACCATTAAATAACAGAAGAGAGAGTGGAGGGATGGCAATTGGATAATGAATGACCAATATTACCTAAGTGATTGTTTAGGTAGGTGGTAATAGACACATGGGCAAATCATGTGTCAAATGGGGTATGGATGGTATGGTAGGAGATGGTAGGATTAAATAATAAATATATACGAAGGAGAGGACAAAATACAAAAAAAAAAAAAAGATTAGAAATTGAGAGCTGAACATGTATGTGTGAAGATAGTTTATTAACCACACCTGTATGTCAGAGGTTTTGTGCCCCACAGGTGAACTAAAGGAGAAGGTGACCCACTCTATCTAACCAGGAGACTGAAGCAGGCCTGGCGGGAAGGGCCCTACCAAGTACTGCCTTTGCCAGCAGAATAGCTGAGAGATCCATCTGGGTGCATGTCACTCACTGCAAAAAGGTAAACCCAGCTACACCTGACAAACAAACACAGAGTTAGGAGAAAGAACCGATCACCACTAGGGCTCGGGGGTTGGCTCCTTAACGAAGATTCCCTTACCCTGTCTGATCATCCCTGTGTGAGTTCGATAGAAGGTGAAGCAATGGGTTGGCCTCTGGCGTCTGACATGTTCTCAGGGCGAGGATTCACAGGTCTCCCGACGGTAGGTAGCTGTCTGATTGTGGGGGCCATATTCCTAACACACACAGACCCTCCTGATCAGCCAGAAGTAGTAGTTAACCTAACACAAGTTGATAAGGCATAGGAGACAGCTAGACGTAGGGAAAGGGGAAGTACTAGGGACATTAGGGAAGGACATCACCATATGCATGTCACCATGTACATCCTGGGACTATGTAGTTGCTTATACCAAGCGGGGGGGGATATGTCAATCTCCATACACAGTTTAGGGACAGGTGTAGTATTGTGAAAGTAGGGAATTATCAGAAATGGCAGTGCGACCCATATAAGGGTAGGTACTGTCTTAAAGTCTGAATTATGCTAAAACAGATTACAGACCTGACAAGTGAGATATCCTCTTCAACTGGGGCACCCTATAGAGTAAACCTCTCTGAGGGAGGTAGTGAGACAGTGCAAACTATAGACCTGAAGGAAGTAGTACAGATGGAGACGGAGTAAATAGATTTTAACCTGTGGTTGGAATGGATTCAGTATATGGTCTAAAGAGGACTGTTATGCCTGTAGGACAGCCAAACCAAGGTTAACAAATACTCCGTTCCCCTTGACAGGCTTTAACTCTCTGTCAGGTTTATCCTCCATGCAAGCCACCTGGGAATGTGGTGAAAGAGTCTTGTAGTAACTTGCACTATCTGTATCCCCCGATAACAAAGTCATCCCGACCTGGGTTGCCTCAGTTTGAAGTCACAGGGGATTCTTATTGTTTTTCTAGGACTAATAAGATAGGATACAGGGTAGGGCATCTTAGCTCCTGCTCCCACACAGAGAATATCACAACTAAAGAGACCATGACTAATCTCTCCTCTTTGTAGCAGCCAGAGGATTTTAGGAACCAAAACCAGGCCCGTGCTGACATCTGATGGTTGTGTGGTGATAACAGATTGTGAACTCACCTACATACGCAAACAATCAAACGTGTCAGAGACTGGTGAGTTGTCACGTAGAAAGTGGGACCTCCTCCCGGGATCCTTTGATGAAAGGATATATATATTGATAGGATAGCAGTACCTCGAGGGGTTCCAGAACAATTCAAAGCTAGGAATCAGATCGCAGCTGGGTTTGAATCAAGTATTTTCTGGTGGTCAACAATTAATAAAAACGTAGATTGGATAAATTATATTTACTATAACCAGCAAAGATTTATAAACCACACTCGTGATGCAATAAAGGGATTGGCTGAGCAGACAGCACCAACTAGCTTAATGACATGGCAGAATAGAATAGCTTTAGATATGCTTTTGGCTGAGCGGGACGGGGTTTGTGTTCTGTTTGGATCTCTGTGCTGTACTTTCATCTCCAACAACACAGCACCGGACGGGTCCGTGACCAAAGCGCTTCAGGGAGTGACCACGCTGGCGAACGAACTGGTTGAGAACTCTGGTATTGATAGCTCCATAAACGGTTGGTTTGATAACATATTTGGTAAATGGAAAACTATTGTTGTAACTATTCTGGGTGAAGTTATAGCTTCTATGGGTATACTTGTTCTTTGTGGATGTTGTCTTATTCCCTGTGTCTGAGGGTTGGTGAGAAAAGGAGATGGAGAAGGTGGTTTCCAAACAGATGGTGAGATACGGCCCAATCCCGGACTCCGACCTAAGGAATGAAACCAGGCTTGGTGGAGTGACACCCTAGAGGGTGTCTAAAGGGGGCAAAAATTTACTTCCCTGTTTATATTTTATGTTTTAATAATCTTATGTTTTGTGTTCTATTAATCCTGTGTTTTATGCTTTATTAATCAAGCTAACCATTGTGAATGTTTATCTTTCCTTATGTGAAGGTTTGAAGTTCCTGGGTGACTGGTAGCCAACCGTTTGCAAGTTGGGTGTAGATGGAAGGACTGAGGGTTTTTATTTTTCAGTATCATTATTGCCTATTAATAAAAGTGTGATTCTTTTTGTTTGTATTGTATTTTAATGACTGACATCCTGTGTTTTCTTATTTTGGGTTCACACCCTAGTGGGTGTGAAAAGGGGGATTGTTGGGTTCTATTTTTCTCATAATTGGATCTGTATGTGATGAATAACTTAGAAGGAATGCATTAATGATAAGCATAGGTTTGTACTATACTGATATAAATTGTTTCACATAACAGGCTGTGATTCATGTAAGGAACGTTAGGGGGTAGGACAGATAAGACTTGTATTTCTTACAGATACGAACACTCTCTCTTTGTTGTCTGTGAAACCGTCCTTGAACGTAGGTACATAGAGTACAGATTGGAAGGGTGTCTTTTGGGTGCAGACTCTACAGGTTATTATGATAGCAACTTATGCCTGGGAACGGTGGAGCGCCAAGGGGTTGGGACTAACCCGTGCGCCAACGGATTGGCTGAGTAAAGTCTAAACCACACTCAGTCCTTTACTCTGATTGGCCAACAGAAGAGGTGGGAACTCTCTGTCAGAGTATTTGAGAAAGAACCTGTAAACAATGGTTTAGTTCTCTGTCTGCCCTGCGTGGTATTTCAGTGAGCCCGTATACGAACCATCATACTTATCATACATACATTTTGCATATAATAAATTTAGCTTGGATTGAATATCTCTTGATTATGTTTTCTCTTATTCCAATACCAGATTTGAATTACGCAATTTCTAACAAAAGCTCATCTGACTGGTCAAAATACCAATTAGTGAAAAAGATCCGATTTGGGATGCCAGTCTAAACGCAGCCTATCTAGTACCCCCCTAAAATAAAGAATTTTTTTGTTAGGTTTTGTATAGCTAAATCTAAAGGTTAATGGTTTATCAAGCAATGCATGTTCAGTGACAACATACGTCAGTAAAATGATGGGGACCTGTCAAAACGGCACAGTTGCATGGTTTATAGCTAAATAAACTAGACTGACGCTCAGTAAGGCAGCATACTCCCACCTACTGTTGGTAGAACTTTGCTAGCTAGCTGCCCCATCATTTTTTTGAATTGTTTGATTGTCAGTTGCTGTCAAAAAATGCCAAGTATTAAGCATTGTCAATTAATTAGAAAGTCAATTACAATCTAGCTAGCTAGTTGACATTAGCTAGCTAACGTTAGCTAATAGCCAGCTAGCGCTCTTAAACTTACCCAGTTTCTCGCATGACATTACTGTCTCCACAGTCACAGGCCCCACCAGCCTGGCTCCTGAACATATTGAAATCATGGCCTGTGTGATCGCCGTTGTTAAAACACTCTGCACAGAGTGACATGCAAGGAGAAATGCCACAAGTCCGACAGCGGTATGCCACAAAATTGGCTGTCCAAACCAAGCCACATAAAGTAGCATTGTCATAGGACCGGAACGTTTTGCAGAACTCCTCGAAACCTTCTCCGCCTGCTATTAGACATTTGCACCAGTCAAGAGCCTCGGTGTCTGCCGCTGTCTTTTCTGGATTAAGAACACAATCAAGCAGCTCTTGAAGTTGTCGGACACCAGAGCTGTTGTCAGTCCGATTAAGGTCTGCCTTTAAATGGGCAGCAGTAGATTTCTTGTCCCGGCGTATCAGCAACGCCGCCATCATGTACTCTGGCTTGTTGTCCACAAATTAATTTTTGTTGTCTTGTTGCTACCTTCTCGTGATTTCTCGCGATACATTTCGATATTGTGTTCACTGGTTGTGTTCCGCGTCTATTGTGTTCAACCCAATGACGTATATAAATCATTGGTTCAAACTCACTGACTTGACTTCATTGCAAATCAACATCCAGTTTGGCAAGTGGTCAAGCTGTGTCGTAGTTTCGGCTACTGTTGTCCCGTAGGTAGCTGATCAACCGTGACCATGCAATTTTGTGGACCAAAAGTTATATAGACAAACCATCACAACCTACAATTACAGTAAACTAGCTAATCCTTAACTAGATAATGATAATTCCAGTGGTGGCAGTAAATAGTGGAATACGAAAATGTTATGCATGTTTTGCATTGCAAAAACTCGACGGTCATAGAGCGGTACTGTTTTCCTTAGCGTCTGTTGCACTTCGGATTGTTTTCATTGAGACCCCACTATTGCGGAAGTGTCACTCTGTACACACTCCCCGTGGCTCTGAAGAGGGGTGTGCTGTGAGTTCCATCTTTTGATGCCATATTCTAGCTCAAACTTGGCCAGCAGAAGGTAAAAAATAAAACCGACTCTTGGATTGCATTTACAGGCAGCAGCTATCGAGCACAAGCTAGCTTCCTTGATTGCTGTTGTCTTTCCGATAGGGCTCTGGGCGTTGAGTGTCTGTGACGTTAGCTGTTAGCAGGTCAACGTTTGCTATCCAGCCAGTATGAAACTGAAAGAGTTGGAAAGTTGCCTTCAACAAGTGGACGCTTTTGAAGAACCTAAGATTCTTCTTGAACAATATCCAACCAGCCCTCACATTGCAGGTAAGACTACTCCACATTAATCAATACAGGTGGCCCACTAAAGCTATGACATTACAAACGTTTGTTGTTCAAGTTAAAGGTAGACTCAGCCACAGCCAGCCATATGACATCGGAGCGACTTCTTGCTTAAATGTCAACTACAACATTAATCTGCCAAAACCTCCTAATGGCTCTTCACAATTTGTTTGCATGCCAATTGGAATTTTATGGTAATTCTAATTGCAGAGTCTAACTTTAGTAATTTAAACATGTATCTTTTCAGCATGTATGCTTTATACAATCCACAACACATTTGATGACATCGAGGGCAAATTGGTTGCAGATTTGGGATGCGGATGTGGCGTTCTTAGCATTGGAGCAGCAATGCTTGATGCAGGGTAAGAAAATAACACAAACTGTCTGTGAAGAAAAGTTATTGTACTGGAGTATTTATCTAACCACTCGCCTTGTTCTCTTACAGTTTGTGTGTTGGGTTTGACATTGATGACGATGCACTGGAGATATTCAAAAGGAACTCTGAGGAATTTGAGCTGACCAACATAGACCTGATCCAGTGTGACATGTGCTCCCTGAGATCCCATGCATATGCCAAGAAATTTGACACTGTGATAATGAATCCTCCGTTTGGCACCAAACACAACCAAGGTGAGATCATTTCACATTTAAAAGTTAATAAAACAACCTATTGATATGTGATATAAACCTTGATTGCTTTCTCAAAAATAAAGGTATGGACATGCAGTTTCTGAGGACCGCTTTAACTATGGCAACAACAGCAGTATATTCCCTTCACAAAACAGCAACACGAGGTGTAAGTTGTCAGAACACTCAATCATGGTGTACTACTCTTTCATCAACTTCTGTCATGAGTGTTGTCCAATTCCTCTTTTTGCCTAATTGCAGCACATACAGAAGAAAGCAAGTGACTGGGGAGTAAAAATGGAAGTAATAGCAGGTAACAGAAATGTCACAATGAAGCAGTGTTGTAGTACTCGAGTCCAGGACTCGAGATCCTATTTATTACTTCTGACTCGCCTTCCTGTGACTTGTTTTTGCACTTGTACTGGATAGGCTACTATAAGCAAAATATTAGCAGCACTGGGTGCGCAGAGCAGCGAGATTTCAGTTTTCTAGCAGTGGGAAGGACACACTGACGTGTGGGCAGGCTCCGCCTCCAATCATAGGCTGCGCAAGCGACTCTTGCTTCCTCGTAACCACCAGTCACCAGCCTACTATTTAGCTTTGCCTGGTTAAGAAACAAACTGGTTTACGAAATTGAAAACAATAGTATTGAGTTTAAAAGTAAAACAGTCTAGCCATGTCATTCTCTCCCCTTGAGTATAGAAAAGTAGGCTGTTTGAATTTCATATCTCTACCCTCCCACTTTCTTTCCCCACTGCATCCCATAGCCAGGTCTCCCTTTACTTTCCACTCCCCAAAAAAAACTCTACACAAAAAAAATCTACACATATCAGTGGGTGACTACAAAAAAATTAGAGCTGAGAGCCTGTTTATTATTGACAATAATCTTGAACATTAAATAAAGTGTGTGAAGGACATGTTTCATAGGCTATTGCAGGCAATTATCACCATTGGGCAACAGAATAAAAATCTTTGCTTTACTTCAATGCTCACAAGTCTTCCTGCCAGCCTGCCACAAGTTTTTGCTGGGCAGATTTATGCCAAATCAAGGTGCGAATATACTGTAGCAGCAAACAACCAGCACTAACCAAACTGTCTAAAGAACCCTGAATCATTTGTTTTGCTTTCACTTTATTTGTAAGTGCACATAAACCAATGTTAATGTATTTGTTGTTGAACTCAGACTTGGACCAGGACTTGATCGTCAGCCATAGAAACTCTACCATTGGTGACTAACTTAGCCATAGGGACTTGTGACTCGACCACAGCGGACTCAAGGTTTAGTGACTCGACTAAAACACTGCAGTGGAGGTGCTGAACAAGTACACGTAAATCAAACCTGACAGTGTGTTTCTCTCCTTAGAGCTAAGATATGACTTGCCAGCATCCTACAAGTTCCACAAAAAGAAATCGGTAAGAGGCAAATGTTGTCAAGTCTGTGTACCTTTGTTTCACCAAGTGCTTCTGAGAATGACTTAAAATCAAACTTTATTGGCTATTCACAAAAGTAAACTTGAAAGGAACAAGATCTGTGCTTTTGGACTCAACCGTATACACATGATTTAAAATAATTGAGGAAAAATAAAATGGCACTCTGATTAACATGTTTCTATTGACATGCACATCTTTGTATGGAGGCGACAAACAGGTGTAATATGCTCCTGCTGAAATGAAATTATAATGTTCAGACGCAGTCAACACAACGAATGAAATCCATATTTAAATAAGACAATCCCATAAAGTATGTTCAGGGTAGAAATTGATAGGTATTGACAATGTAAGATGCACACCACATTACTGATAAGGGCTGAAAACTTTCCAGTCTTACATTCTAAATTGTTTTCTAGGTTGACATCAAGGTGGACTTTCTACGATTTTCCACAACATGAAGCCTCCACTGGAATGGAATAAAGTTGTTTTCAATGGGTTTCTTTTCAAATAAAATGTTTCAATGAGATGTGCTAGTACATCATTTCTAAGAACCATTTTCAGTTTTGACAACTTTTGCAGCTGGAGCATCAGCATCTTTGCACACTCCTTCAAGGGCTCGCTTCTTTGGGCTAGGAGGTGCTATTGGAGAAATGGAAGTTAAAAGGAAAATATTAGATACTCAATTGTTCCAAAGTTTCTCATTGAGCATTGGCAGACAGACATTTGTCTCAGCAGAATCCTAGCATGATATTGCTTGATTAACAGAACTGCTCTTACCGTCATCATTATCACTATCATCAAATTTGGTCTTTCTGCCTTGGTAATGTGATTTGCCATCACGTCCACCCCTGTCCCTTCGTCCTCCTCTCCCCCCTCTCCCACCTGATTTTCGACCACCTGTAAAGAGAGAAGAGGAAATGCACCATCAGATCAGAAATATGACATGAAAAAAAATAATAATTGAAATCAGTTACCTCTACCACCTCTACGTTTGTTGAGAGATTCCTGTTGGTCTTCAATTATCTTTTTCAGAGCTTCCCTCTCTGCATCTCCCTCCACCACCTCCCACGTAACGTCTTCGTCTTTAATTTTCAAGTTTCCTCCACTTGCTTCCTTGGCCTTATCAAGAGCTTCCTTGGCACTCACTTTGAAGAGGATGGTACCCTTTAAGATAAATCATTATTTCCTATGACATTCATTTGTAATTGAAGGGTGGTTCAAATGGTTTATTACACTGCAATTCTTACCTCTTTGGCACCCCTGGTGAAATCAATCCATTTGATTTGACCATGACCTGAGAACACCTCGTGAAAGTCCTCTCTTGAAACACTGTCAAGATTGCCTGAGAACTTCAACAGGCATCCGGTCTGCTCGTCCAGAGATTTCTACAGTGTAAAATAAAGCAGAGGACCATTAGTGAACAACTTTAAACCTCCCTGTTTTGGGAAGAAAAATACAATGGGTTCCTGTTCAATAGAAGCAAACAGGAGAAAAACATCTTGAATTAGAGGTGGTGCTACACCAACTTCTCCAATAAGAACAGATTTGCCAGTTTCAAAATGTTTAGCCCTAATGAAGATGACCCCTTCAAAACATCTCAATAAGGATTTGTGATAGCACTTCCAGAGATCTTACCATTTCCTCTTCCTCTGCTTGTTTTTGTTTTTCGTCCTTGTCACTGTAAAACAAATTTAATTTGGAACAATTTACTTTACCATAGAAATACACTACAGAAAAAACAAACATGATTGAATGATAAAATGTAAAAATGTAATGATTAATGGTCAGTAATGTGCTCACTGTTTAGCTTTAGCCTTTGCCTCTGCTTTCAACAGTTTTCTATCCTCTGTTTTCTTTGCATGGTACTCCTCTCTGAAAACACAAGAGCGGAGTTAATTCTATTCATATCCTCTTCACCAGTATCAATAGGTCATATTAGAGACTTGGTAATTGAAGCTTAGCCTCAACCTACCTTGAAAGTACAATCATTTCATTTTCTTTGAATGATTTGGTGTCTGTGCGTGCTAGGAACTGCTTTGATGCTTCTTCAGTGTCAAAAACCAGGAATACTGAGCCCTGAAAATGGATGGAGATGCTGAGTGTTTTGTAGTACACGCATTTGTTAAATCTTAAATGGAAAAAAATATCTCCTGACAAATCTTACAAATGTTCTATAAATCTGTCCTGCAGAGTGTGCTGTCCTTTGGTCTGATATGAGTGTTTTAAAACATGCGAGCGCAAGACCAAGTCAAGCTTCAGCGCTTGATCAAGACGGCGGGAAGGATAATTGGCATAGATCAAGAATTGGCCACCAACCTGTACACAAAACTCATCCTCCTAAAACTTGAAAGCATTTTACAGGACAGTACTCATCCCCTTCACTCAAAACTCAGTCACAGCAGCTGCCGGACAAGGGGAAAGACTTCTTCAAAATAAAATCTAAACTGACAGATATGGGGACTCTTATTCCAATAGCCATTAGGCTGTATAATGGATAGTCTGTTGGTCGCTCGAGTATTTCACTTTAAATGTGTAGCTATAGCACTTTCAATTAATTATTGTGTGTAGTTTCTGTGTTTTCATGTACTGTCTTTTTAAGCACATGACCAAATGAATTTCCCCCTAGTGGGATAATAAAGTTGATCTGAATCACCTTGAAATTCTTTTGGAAGTTTCGTCTCATCTGAATGTTTTCTATGACGCCTTTCCCTTTCAGCCACCCCTCGATTTCATCAAGGGTTGTCTCCAACGGAAAACCTTTCTGGAAGATAGAAAATGTTTAACATACATACAAACACAGGGCTCCAAACAGCTGTAATAAGGTGCATCTCGAATCTTGGAAACGTACAATGTACACAGATTTGTGTTTGAGGGTATCTTTGTACTTGTCGTTCAGTTCTGGTAAGGGCTTGCTTGAAATTCTCCTGATTTTTGTCTTATCCTCACTCAATTCCAAAAGGCCAGTCTGGGATTTCTTCAGAGACTCAACAATTACGTTGTGATCGGTTGTCAAGCATTTCAGTCTGAAAATAATGAGGGGAGAGTTAGGAATCATGTTATAGCGAACAATTAAAAAAATATGTATGTAGGCCTTACCAAGTCCCAAGCTTCAATTGATAAAAGAAGAGTAAATTGCACAAACCTGTTAAACTTGAGCATGGTTTCCAGGGTCACCCATCCGTCATCGAGCTGCAACTGTTCTTTGAGGAACTTGTCTCTTGGAAGGTTGTGATCACCGAAGTAGTACTTTGAAGATAAATAAATAAAAACATGCGTAAATCAGGGATGACCAGCATTATCCAGGTTAGCTGTCAGTATATACCACCATATTTTATTATACAGCTACAGTATAATACATTTTGCTATGACATAAAATACCTCAATCTGTTGTGCCACCTTCTTCTCAAGTTCAGACATTTCTTGAATTTCTGCCATGATGAGTCTGAAAAAAAGAAGTCAAAGATGGAGTATTTATTAGATCAAAAGGAGACAAATCAATATTATTGATTTATAAGCAACACTAACCAAATGGGAAATGCTTTAGCTACATGCACGAGCCGTGCCAGCTAATTACACAACGGACATGCACATGAGGTCTGCGTGGGGAAAAGCATTTGCTTGCCCACGTTTTCACTCCTGACTGAAGACAGTCATGTTACCCAGCCTAACAAGCTACCTAGTACTATATAAAGCCCATATTAATTAATTTCGTTCACTAGTGGTTACAGTAACATAGCCTCTAAATTCAACCGAAGACATGAACTAACGGGCAGTTTAGTGTGGCCAGCACGTACATGAAATGCCTCGCTCTGTCAGCTAACTCGTTACGTTAGCTTGCTAGCTAGCTAGCGTGCAACGGTTTCTTTCGCCACAGGCCTCTAAAATACAAGATAGGACGGTTCTTTACCAAATTAGATGATTTGCACAGAAAGATCAAACGCTGGCTAATTGTAACATATTTACTTACTGTGATATATTGACTTGCTACCTGCAGAGATGAATGTTGATCAGAAGGCTTTCTTCCTTCCACACAAGCTAAATCCCGTTTGCAAGCAGGTTGGTTGTCCTGCGTGCTACGGAGAACGTTGATGGCCAAAACAAATTGCTTTGGTATGCTGTTTTGCGTTCTGCACTGCAGCCTATGCTACAGTGCCGCCTAACTTCTTTGTCTTCGATGAGGTTTAACGGCGGTTGGCATCCAATAAATGTTGCATTACCGCCACCTACTAGTCTGGATTATAACTCCCTTATACTTTGCTTGAAAAATATATATAAAAAAATTCAACAAATACCCTACCATCTAACACTACTCACAAAAAATAAAATGTAAAAAACAAAAAATACCATACACCACTATTTAGATCTATTTAGTCCTACTTCAGGCCAACAGCCTGAAAGGATGGGACACCACCACTTAACGCACCCTGTAACTCTTCTGATGTCAAGTCTCGCACACCCAAATATCTCTCTGCAGCTACCACCACAACCTCTATTTTCTGCGACTTACGTTCCATCCCTGCAGTACCGTTAACCATTGCTATAAATGCCAAAAATCCAATCTTACTGAAACTTATATCACTTGTTGGTTTATCCCTATGTATTGGTACAGACCTACTACTCACACCACTCCTCTCAGGATCCCTCCCCCTTGACCCATCTTCCTCTACTTTCTTCACTGCCTCAGCATATGACTTCTGCACTACTCTATCCCTGGAAACCTCAACCTGCCTCTCGCATGGGACATTTCTGATCCCCAGCCCCATGGGCACCCATACAATTAACACATACCACTACTTTCCCCAATGTTACACATTCCTTTGTCTCATGCCCTGCTGCATACTTCTCACACTTAGGAACCTCCCTCCTACAAACTGCTACCACATGCCCATAAGCTTGACACCTGTAACAACGTAATGTATTCGGCACAAAAGCTTGTACAGGATAACTTATATATCATAACATTACTTTGTCGGGCAAAGACTCAACATCAAAACTCAAAAAAGAACAGACAATGACTCTTCTGTTTCTCCACTCACGCCACCCTGTCTGCATCGCACCAAACGAGGAGCATTACAAACACCGGGAATCTTCCCCTTCAGTTGTTCAGCTTTCAGATTTACCGCTACCCCAGTAATCACTCCGATTCCACAGCACCCAACTCTGTTTTCACCCACCCTGAAACCACAAATGGATCAGCCAAAAGGCAAGGGTCCACTTTTTCCAAAAACATAACTCCTATTTTCACAGACTCATCTTTATCCTGACCCTCTGTGCAAGCCACGGGCTCAGAGAACTTCAGGACACCTACCACCTCTTCGCCCTCATTCACTTCCATTTCTCCTCCTGTCTTCAACTCACTCTGCTTACACTTTCTACCATCCTTCTTTAACAAACCATCTCCCTTTTTCCCGCCATTTTTAACCGACTCAAGTTCACCCTCTCTCTCTTAGACCTCCTCTGCCTCTCTTTTACCCTCCATTCCTCCTCCGTATTCCAAGTAATAATATAATATAATATGTCATTTAGCAGACGCTCTTATCCAAAGCGACTTACAGTCATGCGTGCATACATTTTTGTGTATGGGTGGTCCCGGGGATCGAACCCACTACCTTGGCGTTACAAGCGCCATGCTCTACCAGCTGAGCTACAAAGGACCACGTATAAGTCTCCTTATGATAATACTGCACTTCTCCTGACATACATCTTGTTCTTGCCTTGTCAACGGACGCCATTTAACCGGCTGTCACAATCTCCGTACATTCAGCACGAACCAGCAGCTGCTTCGTCGTTGATGTTCTTCTTTATTAATAGCTACCGAGACGCTTTTCCATTTCAAACAAGCGCGCTCTCTTTAACCCAGATTCCTCGATTCGCTTGCTCAGACCCTGTCCTCTCTCCCTCTCCCTCTCCCCCTCTCCCTCTGCCTTTTCTTCCTAACTAGGCTACCAACCACCTTCTTGTTTTTTCGCCAACCAGCGCCACCTAACTTCTGCTGAAGTAGTTTATGGCCAAAGGTTTTGTTAAATATTTTATTTACATGTGTTAATTGATTTAATTGATTCAGTGGGCAGAATTCACACATCAGTCTACGAAATCAGTGAACATACAACCACCACATCTATGTGCATCATCTTGTAGATTAAAGCTGCAATATGTAGCTTTTTGGGCGGCTTGACCAAATTAAATAGAAATATGAGTTAGTGAGCCGTCATTCTCCTTGAAAGCAAGTCTAAGAAGCTGTAGATATGTTCTATGTGTACCATTTCTATGCTTCTGTTCTTAAGTTTCGTTTTTGCATCTTTTACTTTCTTTTGTAAACCAGCTTCAAACAGCTGAAAATACAATATTTTTGTTTATTGAAACATTTCCCAGTGGTTTAGATAGTACAATGATTATCTACATTATACTTCCATGTTTTGTCACATAAACTGAAATTAGCCATACTATTACAATTTCAGCAACCAGGAAATGGCAGAGCAATTTCTGCATATTGCATCTTTAAAGTTACATTTATCAAGTCAAATCATGTGCATACTGCATCAATCAACCGCAGACTGTTGCAACGTTTAGGCAGTGGTCTGCTTCAGCCTATACATTTTTGCATCCATAATCATCAGTTTGGTTTTTATCGACAGCTGTTTTAGTTAATTATTTTTACATTCAGAATCAGAGGTCTCCACAAAGGAAACCTGAATAATTGTGCATACCCAAAACCCTAAGATTCAGATGTATGGTTGATGACATTTGTGCTTCAAATGTAGAGATTTGTCTAAAAACAGCGTGCATATCTAGTGCTCTATCAGGTTTACCAGTCTAAGCCAAAATTACACAAATGGTAATGTAAAGTGCATGAGAACCAGTGTGTTAGATATAGGCCATTCAATGTAAGTGGATTGAAAAGTATGTGCTCTTTTTGTAATATTAAACCAGCAGCAATCATTTGTCACTGAACATTCATTTTGGCCAATTGGGTATAAAAGATACTCTAAATAATGTCACTTTTTGTAAAAAGATTCTTAGCACCTGTCACACACATACATAGCCCCTGCCACTCATGGGCGGTATGGCACGAAGGAACTGCATCCACGGGATTTAGTTGATGTTTGTTGTAAAAGTACATTGAAAGACACTACACACTGTAAATACAAATGCATCCGTGTGTTCTTGCTGGGCTAGGGAGGCTTCCCACAACCTCCCAGGTGTCCAGCTCTGGGTCATACTTCTCAATGCTCTGCAGATATGTCCCCTTTGAATAGGAATATCCCCCTGTCACATAGATGCAGCCATTGATCACTACAGCACCACACTCCATCCTCCTCTCCTTCATCACTGACAACTGCCTCCACTCATCTCTCTCTGGATCGTAGCAGTCTGTGATCGTAGTCTGTCCTCCCACCAAGTACAGCTTGTTGTTCAGAGAAACAGAGCACAGGCCATACTCTGAAAGCATAAAGACAATGATTTCCTTACTAAATATTATTTCATACAAATTAAAATAAAATGCCCACTTCCCTCAAAATCTATCATACCTGGATGAGGACTTATTGTGACAATGTTCCACTCATTTATGTCTGGCCTGTAGGCCTGAATTTTTTCATAGGTGCTGCTTCCTCTGGATCCATAGTGGCCACCGGTCACATAGATTGTGTCATTCATGACACAAGCAGTGGCATTTCCTACACCTTTGAAAGAGGAAGCATTTGATCAAAAACAGTGAACAGCCAAAACAATCCTGATTTCATTAGTACTACTCAGTAAAATATTTTGCATGTTATTTGAATATGCAGAATAACTTGAAAGTAATTATTTACAGGTCAATGGCTGAGAATCAAATAGAGTGAATGAGTGGCCAAAATAGCTTTTGGCCCAACCATGTGAAACTGACAAGTTCAAGGGCAATACTAGAGCAACACAGGCTTGCATGTTTGCTTAGGTGTCTTCTCATTGTAACAAACTCCCTGTACAGTGGTTCTGTTTATGTTTTCATACCTTGTATCATGTTGGCTGTAGGGAACCATTTCTTTTTTAAGGGGTCATAGAATTCAGTCTCAAGTTGTATAGCTCCTCCTCTGTACCCTCCTATGGCATAGATACAGCCATGTAAAGCCACAGAACAGTGGTAGTATCTGGCAGTGATCATGGGGCATCCCTCGGTCCACTCATTACAATCACCATTATAAATCCAAACTGTGTCCAGGGCTTCAATAGTCTCAGTCTTATAACCCCCAGTCACATAAATATTTGCCCCGAGTAAAGATACACTATAGCTCTCCCTTGTCTGGTCAGGCATATCTTTTCCTTGCACCCATGTGTTGCTTATTGGATCCCATATGTGGACTTCACAGAGTGGATGCCAGTAGTACCCTCCAATAACATACATGCTTGAGGACAGTTTCTTCCTGCTCGCTGAAGTCTCTTTGCAGTTGGACTTCAAAGCGTTGATAATCAATGACCTTACTTTTCCCTCATTGCCCAGTAAGCATTGTCTCTGTACATCCAGGGCAGTCTTGAAGTACATCTCATCCAGCTCAAGATGGATACAACAGAGTAGGTCCTGAACGTGATCAATACGGTTAACAACGTCATGGGTGACCCATTTGACCACGGCATCCAAGAGAACTTCATCCTTCCATACGTTGAGGTTCTTAAGAGACATGACTGAACTCAGCTTGTCGTAGTCCACCTCCAAGAACTCCTCCTGCTGTAGGAGTTCCTCAAACCTGCTGAGCATTACCCTTCGTGCCTCCCGCTCCAGCTCAGGGCAGATGTGCAGCTCAGCAAAAGAGTGCATACCCAGGCAGTTGTCCACATCCAGGAAGCGTATAAGGAAGTCTTCGCAAGCCTTCTTCACTGAGCTGAACTGTAAGAGGTCTGCTGCCTCCAGCAGGCTCTGTACATTTGTCTCAGTGATGTTCACCTTGGAAGTGTATACGTAATTCACCAAAGCACTCAGAACTTCATAATCAATCCCAGTCAGTTTGATGAGGTTGTTTGACCGCTCCTTCATGTCGGCTGTGAACATGACTTTGAAATAAGAGCTGCGAGCTGACAATGCTGCCTTGTGACAGTAAAATACTTGTCCTGTGGCACATTGTAGGGTGATGTCGGTGAATATGCCACCGAGGTAGAACTCTCTCAGAGCATCCAATAGTTCATTTGGATGGGTGATGTCACAAAAGTCATAAATGTAGCTTTCTTTTCCTTTGTCTGACATAGTGGCTAAAAAATGAAGAGAAGATAGAACATATCATTTATTGGGTTAATACATTATGTGGGGGGGGGGGGCATACTTTTGTGGTGTTCATTTCTTGTGCCATTTAATTTACTATAGGCCTAAGAACATGTGAAAACAACTAACATCTGATAGCATTTAATGGCTTTTCTTTACATATTGGCTTCCATCTTTACCACAACATAGGCTACTACAATATTAGGGCTATTTATATCTATACACACATGAGTAGGCTACGATCTGAGAGTGCAATAAAGGCTCTCATGTCATCAGCACAGGACATGATTTTCTACTCTCAAACCACTGGATTTTAAACATTATTCACAACATTGTATCAATCATTAATCTTCAAATCCATATTCCCTCATTCACGTTTACCTTTCCACCGTATAATGGCATGAATTGTGCTTTCTGGACTGAAACAGGCGCTCGCAGACACTAACCTCAAATTAGCTCTCAGGACGTTTGCTGCACAACGCTGTCCTATTTTGGTATCTGTGTATAGTTGGAGAGGCGCCGGCTGTCACCCTGCTCCATATACTCCAGCCTGCTTTCCAGATAATAGGCTACATACAACCAGCCAAGTAGACTGCTTCAGCGAATCACCGTTCCCGTTATTCCCTGGACACACGTTCTCCTACCACGGCAATGGTTGAGTAAAGACAGCATCGATGCGCACAAGTAGAATCCTACCCCCAAGTGAACCAAAAAATAGTATGGTTGGTAGTTTATTTTAATTTGATTGAGGAATTCCCCCACTGCAGAGTCACTTCCCATTCAGTCTCTTTCGTTGCCATGGCAGCTTTAGCCTAATCCTAATAGGGATTAACATTGCATAATCTAAAGAAAGATTGTAGTGTGGTGCCATGAACAAGCCACGCGTCAAACCTTATGACCAACAATGATTTTGTGGTTCACAACCTCACTGCTAAGTAAAATAATCTAAGTGATGGACATCTGACTTTAGCTGTTGAAATAACGGGACATTTATTAAATATACAGTACACTAAAGGCTGGTAGACTAACATTGCAGATTTCATCTTTATTGCACCAAGGGAATATTTTATACTAGAAATAGGCTAGTCACCATAGAAACATAGGGTGCATAGAAAATGTATATGAGTTTATTGGTCAGTTGAGATGGGTTGTTTTTTTGTTTCCCATTTCAGCTACCCTCCTACTGGTGTGCTGACATTGAGAAAATTTAGCAACATGGGCAAATAGAGAATACAAGAAAATATAAACAATTGTAATAATGTAAACAGGTTTTTATTAAATTCTACATATAGTCAGCATCTCTCCAATAGAAATGACATTTTTAGTAACATTTATTCTAGATGTGTAATGTTTAATAAAACACAAATACTTCTACGTGTTGTAAACTAAGTATTGAAATGCTAAAAGGCCAAAATAAGCCATTTAGATTACTCAAATCTTCAGTGGTTAGATTTTTAGACATTGGAATGCTCTACTGGTCCTTCAGCATTGTAACAATGCTCTCTCATTGCCATTTACACAGAGAGCTGTGCTGCTTCTTTCACTAAAGGTTTTAAGGCACCAAGGTCCCCAAAGAGAGAGGATAACCCCACACAATACCACTGATCTCCACTACGAGCTGCAGGGGCACTGAATGACTCCATTTCCACTCCTGCCGTGGCCAGCAAACCTGAGGAAAGAGTGGGAGACAGTCAAAGTAAAATTAGTTTAAACAGTTATCCTGGTCATCTTGCATTTACAGCTGTGAGAAGCTTGCTGTCAAGTGCTGGCTCGGTGTAAACACATCCTGATTGGAAAAGACAGAAAAAGTAAGAGTTAAGAATGCAGACTGAAAAGAGAAATCATTCAAGCTTGATTATATCAAATAAGTAGCAAAAAAGGGGTATACCTTGCTAACCTTGTCCTGCATAGGGAGACGAATGACCCTATGATCTCGATTAGTAAATAATGTTACAATGTGAAAAATAGCTTTCTCACCAGTCACAGAGGGCAGGAGCTGAGGAGACGCCGCGGCTTTAAAGAACAGCAGGTTGCCAGTGAGAGAGACAGGCTGTCGGAACACGCTGCGGTTCAGCTCCAACAAGGCTGGTACTCCTCCCTGGACTGAACCAGTAGCTCTGTAGCTAGAGCCGTTGACAGAGATCTCCACCTCACATGCACCTTGAGTCAGACCCTCACTGTGGCTTCTGGTTACCTGAGATTTAAAAAGAAAGTCATCCATCTCAGATAAGATTTATTTATATTACACAAGATATGTCATTAATAAAATGACCTTTAGCCAAGTGTCAATGGGGGCCATTTTACCGTTATTCCAGATTCCTTGGCCAGGGTCAGTGCATTGACCAAATTGGGGCAACTCTGGGACCCATCACTAAGTAATCCAACCATTACTGCTGAAGTCATGTAACCAGAGGAATCTTTCAAGCCGTCTCCTAGTTTGTGATAAAAACAACAGACCATGTTCAGTTTGCAAGGCCAGAGCCCACACTTTTGTGATACACAATTATACCACTAGGGGGAGACAAACCAAAGCTCACAACACCATCTTCCCCTAATACATGTATGCTTGAATGGCATTAAAAAATGGCATATATTGTCTCCTTTCCCTTATAATCACTGATCTGAGAAGACTGGTTATGTAATGTTGACACAGACTTTCCGCCACATCTTTTCATCTATCAAGCCTGATCAGCAGTTTCAGAGAAGAGTAAGCAATTTATGAATATTAGGACACAGTCTAATGCCTTGGAGTGCTTACCTTGAGTTGTGATTTTGACTTGGCTGAAGGGTTGTTTAGAGGTAGTGCACGATTTCAGCACAGCTCCTATGGCCTCTCCAAGTTTGATCCACTGGTGAGACTCGGGGGAGAATGTGCTTGCCAAAACCTGGGCATTCACCTGCACACACCAAATTACACAACATGTAACATATCAAAGAAAGTTATACAGCCGCACCATTGAGAGCATCTTGACTGGCTGCATCACTGCTTGGCATTCGACCGCAAGGCGCTACAGAAGCCTCTATACCAGGTGCCATCCAGGACCTCTATACCAGGCAGTGTCCGAGGAAGGCCCTAAAATGGTCAAAGACTCCAGCTACCCAAGTCATAGACTGTTCTCTCTGCTTCCGCACGGCAAGTGGTACTGGTTCACCAAGTCTGGAACCAACAGGACCCTGAACAGCTTCTAACCCCAAGCCATAAGACTGCTAAACAGTTAACCAAATAGCTACCCGGACTATCTGCATTGACCCTTTTTGCACTAACTTTTTTTACTCATCACATACGCTGCTGCTACTGTTTATTATCCATCCCTTTATTCCTAGTTACATGTACATATCTACCTCGGACCCCTGCACATCGACTCGGTACTGGTACCCAGTGTATATAGCCAAGTTATCATTACTCATTGTGTATTTATTATTAAGCATTCTACTTTTCTATTATTTCTCTATTTTCTTTCTCTCTGCATTGTTGGGAAGGGCCCGTAAGTAAGCTTTTCACTGTTCGTAAACAGGTTTAGACTAAGCATTTGACTAATAAAATTTGATTTGATCAAATGTGGTTTGTGCATTATTTAAGCAATAAGGCACGTAGGGTGTGGTATATACCATGGCTAAGGGCTGTTCTTAAGCACGACACAACGCAGAGTGCCTGGATACAGCTGTTAGCCGTGGTGTATTAGTCATGTACCACAAACCCCCGAGGTATCTTACTGCTATTATAAACTGGTTACCAACGTAATTAGAACAGTAAAAATACATTTTTGGTCATACCTGTGGTATACGGTCTGTTATAAACTGGGTGGTTCGAGCCCTGAATGCTGATTGGCTGACAGCCGTGGTATATCAGACTGTATACCACGGGTATGACAAAACATATATTTTTACTCCTCCAATTACGTTGGTAACCAGTTTATAATAGCAATAAGGCACGAGGAGGTGTGGTAAATTGCCAATATACCACGGCTAAGGGCTGTATCCAGGCACTCTGCGTTGCGTCGTGACTAAGAACAGCCCTTAGCCGTGCATTCCAGCTGGTGTCTATTCCACAAGTTACCCCCGGCTAAATCTATGGCGTTAAAATGCCTATTTACTCTGTTCCACCTGACAGCGCAATCCACTGTCTCATCAGCCCAGGCAGGCAAGTTATAAACTCCAGATCTCCACTATAAAAAGCATCTAGAAATGATCACATATTTCTTTTAGACTAACATTTAGTTTTCAACAGCGGAGATTTGTATAAACCTTGCTGTTTGTCTCTCCGACATTTGCAACATTGTTTCAATATTCAAATTCGATCTCCAGCTGTCGCATAGTAATGAACGTGTCGGGATGAGACAGACAGGCAGCTTTTCTCAGCCAGTTGAAATCATGAATCAGCATCATTTTTATGTACACTACCAGTCAAAAGTTTGGACACCTACTCATTCAAGGGTTTTTCTTTATCTGTACTATTTTCTACATCCTAGAATAATAGTGAAGACATCAAAACTATGAAATAACACTTGTAGTAACCAAAAAAAGTGTTAAACAAATCAAAATATATTTTATATATGAGATTCTTCAAAGTAGCCACCCTTTGCCTTGATGACAGCTTTGCACACTCTTGGCATTCTCTCAACCAGCTTCACCTGGAATGATTTTCCAACAGTCTTGAAGGAGTTCCTACATATGCTGAGCACTTGTTGGCTGTTTTTCCTTCACTCTGCGGTCCATCTCATCCCAAACCATCTCAATTGGGTTGAGGTCGGGTGATTGTGGAGGCCAGGACATCTGATGCAGCACTCCATCACGCTCCTTGGTCAAATAGCCCTTACACAGCCTGGAGGTGTGTTGGGTCATTGTCCTGTTGAAAAACAAATGATATCCCATCTGGTTTGGGCTCAGTGGGACTGGCGTATCGCTGCAGAATGCTGTGGTAGCTATGCTGGTTAAGTGTACCTTGAATTCTAAATAAATCACAGACAGTGTCACCAGCAAAGCACCCCCACACCATCTCCTCCTCCATGCTTCATGTTGGGAACTACAAATGCGGAGATCATCCGTTCACCTACTCTGCGTCTCACAAAGACACGGCGGTTGGAACCAAAAATCTCTCATTTGGATTCATCAGACCAAAGGACAGATTTCCACCAGTCTAATGTCCATTGCTCGTGTTTCTTGGCCCAAGCAAGTCTCTTCTTCTTATTGGTGTCCTTTAGTAGTGGTTTCTTTGCAGCAATTCGACCATGAAGGTCTGATTCACGCAGTCTCCTCTGAACAGTTGATGTTGAGATGTGTCTGTTACTCGAACTCTGTGAAGCATTTATTTGGGCTGCAATTTCTGAGGCTGGTAACTCTAATGAACTTATCCTCTGCAGCAGAGGTAACTCGGGGTCTTCCATTCCTGTGGCGGTCCTAATGAAAGCCAGTTTCATCATAGCGCTTGATGGTTTTTGCGACTGCACTTGAAGAAACTTTCAAAGTTCTTGAAATTTTCCGTATTGACTGACCTTCATGTCTTAAAGTAATGATAGACTGTCATTTCTCTTTGCTTATTTGAGCTGTTCTTGCCATAATATGGACTTGGTCTTTTACCAAATAGGGCTATCTTCTGTATACCACCCCTACCTTGTCACAACACAACTGATTAGCTCAAACGCATTAAGAAGGAAAGAAATTCCACAAATTAACTTTTAACAAGGCACTGTTAAAAATCTGTTAATTGAAATGCATTCCAGGTGACTACCTCATGAAGCTGGTTGAGAGAATGCCAAGAGTGTGCAAAGCTGTCATCAAGGTGGCTACTTTGAAGAATCTCAAATATAAAATATATTTTGATTTGTTTAACACTTTTTTGGTTACTACATGATTCCATATGTTATTTCATAGTTTTAATGTCTTCACTATTATTCCACAATGTAGAAAATAGTAAAAATAATGAAAAACCCTTGAATGAGTAGGTGTGTCCAAACTTTTGACTGGTACTGTATGTATGTATCCTCTGTCAGGTTGGATGGGGAGCATCGCTGCACAGCTATTTTCATGTCTTTCCAGAGATTTTAGATCTGGTTAAAGTTCGGGATCTGGCTGGGCCACTCAAGGACATTCAGAGATTTGTCCCGAAGCAACTCCTGCGTTGTCTTGGCTGTGTGCTTAGGGTCGTTGTCCTGTTGGAGGGTGAACCTTCGCCCCAGTCTGAGGTCCTGAGCGCTCTGGAGCAGGTTTTCATCAAGGATCTCTCTGTACTTTGTTCTGTTTATCTTTCCTTCGATCCTGACTAGTATCCCAGTCCCTGCCGCTGAAAAACACCCCCAGCATGATGCTGCCACCACCATGCTTCAACGTAGGGATGGTGCCAGGTTTCCTCCAGACGTGACGCTTGGCATTCAGGCCAAAGAGTTCAATCTTGGTTTCATCAGACCAGATAATCTTGTTTCTCATGGTCTGAGAGTCCTTTAGGTGCCTTTTGGCAAACTCCAAGTGGGCTGTCATGTGCCTTTTACTGAGGAGTGGCTTCTGTCTGGCCACTCTACCATAAAGGCCTGATTGGCGGAGTGCTGCAGAGATGGTTGTCCTTCTGGAAGGTTCTCCCATCTCCACAGAGGAACTCTGGAGCTCTGTCAGAGTGACCATCAGGTTCTTGGTCACCTCCTTGACCAAGGCCCTTCTCCCCCAATTGCTCAGTTTGGCAGGGCGGCCAGCTCTAGGAAGAGTCTTGGTGGTTCCAAACTTCTTCCATTTAAGAATGATGGAAGCCACTGTGTTCTTGGGGACCTTCAATGCTGCAGAAATGTTTTGGTAACCTTCCCCAGATCTGTGCCTCGACACAATCCTGTCTCGGAGCTCTACAGATAATTCCTTCGACCTCATGGCTTGGTTTTTGCTCTGACATGCACTGTCAACTGTGGGATCTTATATAGACAGGTGTGTGCCTTTCCAAATCATGTCCAATCAGTTTAATTATCCACAGGTGGACTCCAATCAAGTTGTAGAAACATATCTCAAGGATGATCAATGGAAACAGGATGCACCTGAGCTCAATTTCAAGTCTCATAGCAAAGGGTCTAAATACTTATGTAAATAAGGTATCTGTTTTGTATTTTTAATACATTTGCACACAAAAAAAAACAAATGTTTTTGCTTCGTCATTATGGGGTATTGTGTGTAGATGGATCAAATTGTTTTTTTCTCATCAATTTTAGAATAAGGCTGTAACATAAGAAAATGTGGAAAAAGGGAAAATGTCTGAATACTTTCACTGCATATATACACACAAATAAATATCAATAGAAAACAGGTAAAATGAAGTGCAGCTTGTTTGCAGTCTTTCCAGCTTCAGTTAGAAGTGATTGTGTTAGCTGTGTTGTTGGCTAGCTCCTCTGAACAGTGTCCTGACGAGAGAGCACACTTTCTATGCCACGTGAAATCACGCCTCATTAGCTCATTGTTATCGATGTATCCAAATAAATGTCACTAGAAAACAGCTTAAACAAATGCAAATGCAGCTACTTCGTTGCTGGCTGCACTGTTTGACATGACTGTAAGTTAGCCGTAGTTGGCTAGCTAGCAAGCAAGGGATAAGAACGTTGCCAGTCAGTATGGGAATCGAACATTTAGAACAAACGACTGGGTCGCATCTCTGGCAACCGAACCGATAGAACGAAAGATCAGCCGGCTTGGGCCTAACAACACCTGTGCCAATATGTCCTCCCAACACCGGCTTCTCAGGCATTATCACTTAAATATACCACGGCTTTCAGCCAATCAGCATTCAGGGCTCGAACCACCCGGTTTATAATTTGGAATGAGGAACTGAGAAGGATATCAAGAAGCTCTATTGTTTTGAGATGCATTGCTTTTGCCCAACCGGTTTTACTACACTTCATGTGGAAAATTAACTAACCAACTAACTAACAGGACCCTGAGCAGCTTCTACCCCCAAGCCATAAGACTGTTAAATAGTTCACCAAATACCTACACGGACTATCTGCATTGACCCTTTTTGCACTAACTATTTTGACTCATCACACACTGCTGCTACTGTTTATTATCTATCCTGTTGCCTAGTCACTTTATCCCTACCTATAGGTACATATCTACCTCAATTACCTCGTACCCCTGCATATCGACTCAGTACTGGTACCCTGTGTATAAAGCCAAGTTATTGTTACTCATGCTGTATTTATTTATTGTGTTATTATTTTTCTAGTATTTCTCTTTTTCTCTCTGCATTGTTGGGAAGGGTCCGTAAGAAAGCATTTCACTGTTAGTCTACACCCGTTTACGAAGCATGTGACAAATTAATTTGATTTTAACTGTCTAATTGTATTGCCAAGTATGACTCACTAATGAAGACACATTCTCTAAATGAAACTATCATTAGAATCCGATCTGAACAACCTCAAGGGTTACATTTTGTGTTACATTGTGACCAACATGTTCAATTCGGGAAACTTTCAAGGTCTGGAAGAACAGTTTTTCTAACCATCGCAACACTGAAACAATCAAAGAAAGAACCCATTAGAATCGGTCACCAATAGGCATTTGCTTGACTGTAATAGGAGAGAAGAACTCACTGCTCCAACCAGGCCCTTGCCCATCACCATGTCCACAATCTGCAGAGCGATGTCCTGTCCACAGCGTGCCTGGGCCTCCTTTGTACTGGCTCCCAGATGAGGACAGCTAATCACATTGGGATGGTTCACCAGGGCACGGTTCTTTGGGGGTTCCTGAGAAAGAATGTAACACCATGATGTAAGTGAGACTGGCAATATTGAGGGGAAGACAAGTAATATAAAATGTCACATCATATAAAATATTGGTGTGGTTTAAGTGATGTGGTGTTTTAAAAAAAATGTAGTGTGTAGATCCAGCTTTAATATTGGAGATATATTGTGGCTTCTATCAATGTAATTGTCTGCATAATTTCCAATCCCCATATATTTTTGTAAATATATACAGTGAGGGAAAAAAGTTTTTGATTCCCTGCTGATTTTGTACGTTTGATGATCAGTCTATAATTGTAATGGTAGGTTTATTTTGAACAGTGAGAGACAGAATAACAACAAATAAATCCATAAAAACGCATGTCAAAAATGTTATAAATTGATTTGCATTTTAATGAGGGAAATAAGTATTTGACCCCCTCTCAATCAGAAAGATATCTGGCACCCAGGTGTCTTTTATACAGGTAACGAGCTGAGATTAGGAGCACACTCTTAAAGGGAGTGCTCCTAATCTCAGTTTGTTACCTGTATAAAAGACACCTGTCCACAGAAGCAATCAATCAATCAATCAATCAGATTCCAAACTCTCCACCATGGCCAAGACCAAAGAGCTCTCCAAGGATGACTGTAAGTCGCTTTGGATAAAAGCGTCTGCTAAATGGCATATTATATTATTATGTCAGGGACAAGATTGTACACAAGGCTGGAATGGGCTACAAGACCATCGCCAAGCAGCTTGGTGAGAAGGTGACAACAGTTGGTGCGTTTATTCGCAAATTGAATAATTTCCCTCGGCCTGGGGCTCCATGCAAGATCTCACCTCGTGGAGTTGCAATGATCATGAGAACGGTGAGGAATCAGCCCAGAACTACACGGGAGGGTCTTTCTTGTCAATGATCTCAAGGCAGCTGGGACCATAGTCACCAAGAAAACAATTGGTAACACACTACGCCGTGAAGGACTGAAATCCTGCAGCGCCTGATTGGCGCTGCAGGATTTCACATATACAGGCCCGTCTGAAGTTTGCCAATGAACATCTGAATGATTCAGAAGAGATCTGGGTGAAAGTGTTGTGGTCAGATGAGACCAAAAACGAGCTCTTTGGCATCAACTCAACTCGCCGTGTTTGGAGGAGGAGGAATGCTGCCTATGACCCCAAGAACACAATCCCCACCGTCAAACATGGAGGTGGAAACATTATGCTTTGGGGGTGTTTTTCTGCTAAGGGGACAGGACAACTTCACCGCATCAAAGGGACAATGGATGGGGCCATGTACCGTCAAATCTTGGGTGAGAACCTCCTTCCCTCAGCCAGGGCATTGAAAATGGGTCGTGGATGGGTATTCCAGCATGACAATGACCCAAAACACACGGCCAAGGCAACAAAGGAGTGGCTCAAGAAGAAGCACATTAAGGTCCTGGAGTGGCCTAGCCAGTCTCCAGACTTTCATCCCATAGAAAATCTGTGGAGGGAGCTGAAGGTTCGAGTTGCCAAACGTCAGCCTCGAAACCTTAATGACTTGGAGAATATCTGCAAAGAGGAGTGGGACAAACTCCCTCCTGAGATGTGTGCAAACCTGGTGGCCAACTACAAGAAACTTCTGACCTCTGTGATTGCCAACAAGGGTTTTGCCACCAAGTACTAAGTCATGTTTTGCAGAGGGGCCAAATACTTATTTCCCTCATTAAAATGCAAATCAATTCATAACATTTTTGACATGTGTATTTCTGGATTTTTTTGTTGTTATTCTGTCTCTCACTGTTCAAATAAACCTACCATTAAAATTATAGACTGATCATGTCTTTGTCAGTGGGCAAACGTACAAAATCAGCAGGGGATCAAATACCTTTTTCCCTCACTGTATATATAGTATCTCACAAAAGTGAGTACATCCCTCACATTTTTGTAAATATTTGAGTATATCTTTTCATGTGACAACACTGAAGAAATGACACTTTGCTACAATGTAAAGTAGTGAGTGTACAGCTTGTATAACAGTGTAAATTTGCTGTCCCCTCAAAATAACTCAACACACAGCCATTAATGTCTAAACCGCTGGCAACAAAAGTGAGTACACCCCTAAGTGAAAATGTCCAAATTGGGCCCAATTAGCCATTTTCCCTCCCCGGTGTCATGTGACTCGTTAGTGTTACAAGGTCTCAGGTGTGAATGGGGAGCAGGTGTGTTAAATTTGGTGTCATCGCTCTCACACTCCCTCATACTGGTCACTGGAAGTTCAACATGGCACCTCATGGCAAAGAACTCTCTGCGGATCTGAAAAAAAGAATTGTTGCTCTACATAAAGATGGCCTGGGCTATAAGAAGATTGCCAAGACCCTGAAACTGAGCTGCAGCACGGTGGCCAAGACCATACAGCGATTTAACAGGACAGGTTCCACTCAGAACAGGCCTCGCCATGGTCGACCAAAGAAGTTGAGTGCACGTGCTCAGCGTCATATCCAGAGGTTGTCTTTGGGAAATAGACGTATGAGTGCTGCCAGCATTGCTGCAGAGGTTGAAGGGGTGGGGGGTCAGCCTGTCAGTGCTCAGACCATACGCTGCACACTGCATCAAATTGGTCTGCATGGCTGTCGTCCCAGAAGGAAGCCTCTTCCAAAGATGATGCCCAAGAAAGCCCTCAAACTGTTTGCTGAAGACAAGCAGACTAAGGACATGGATTACTGGAACCATGTCCTGTGGTCTGATGAGACCAAGATAAACTTATTTGGTTCAGATGGTGTCAAGCGTGTGTGGCGGCAACCAGGTGAGGAGTACAAAGACAAGTGTGTCTTGCCTACAGTCAAGCATGGTGGTGGGAGTGTCATGGTCTGGGGCTGCATGAGTGCTGCCGGCACTGGGGAGCTACAGTTAATTGAGGGAGCATGAGCATGATCCCCTCCCTTCGGAGACTGGGCCGCAGGGCAGTATTCCAACATGATAACGACCCCAAACACACCTCCAAGACGACCACTGCCTTGCTAAAGAAGCTGAGGGTAAAGGTGATGGACTGGCCAAGCATGTCTCCAGACCTAAACCCTATTGAGCATCTGTGGGGCATCCTCAAACGGAAGGTGGAGGAGTGCAAGGTCTCTAACATCCACCAGCTCTGTGATGTCGTCATGGAGGAGTGGAAGAGGACTCCAGTGGCAAGCTGTGAAGCTCTGGTGAACTCCATGCCCAAGAGGGTTAAGGCAGTGCTGGAAAATGATGGTGGCCACACAAAATATTGACACTTTTGGCCCAATTTGGACATTTTCACTTAGGGGTGTACTCACTTTTGTTGCCAGCGGTTTAGACATTAATGGCTGTGTGTTGTGTTATTTTGAGGGGACAGCAAATTTACACTGTTATACAAGCTGTACACTCACTAATTTACATTGTAGCAAAGTATAATTTATTCAGTGTTGTCACATGAAAAGATATACTCAAATATTTACAAAATGTGAGGGGTGTACTCACTTTTGTGAGATACTGTGTATATATATATATATATATACACACACACACACACACACACACACACACACACACACACCCGTTCAAAAGCTTGGGGTCACTTAGAAATGTCCTTGTTTTCTAAAGAAAATCATTTATTTTGTCCACTAAAATAACATCAAATTGATCAGAAATACAGTGTAGACATTGTTAATGTTGTAAATGGCTATTGTAGCTGGAAACAGCTGATTTTTAATGGAATATCTACATAGGCGTACAGAGGCCCATTATCAGCAACCATCAGTCCTGTGTTCCAATGGCACGTTGTGTTTGCTAATCCAAGTTTATCATTTTAAAAGGCGAATTGACTATTTTGCAATAATGTTAGCACAGCTGAAAACTGTTGTGCTGATTAAAGTCGCCTCTTCAATGCCAATACTGTGCAAAGCTGTCATCAAGGCTACTACTTTGAAGAATCTGAAATATAAAATATATTTTTGGTTACTACATGATTCCATATGTGTTATTTCATAGTTTTGATGTCTTCACTATTATTATACAATGTAAAAAATAGTAAAAATTAAGGAAAACCCTTCAATGAGTAGGTGTGTCCAAAATTTTGACTGGTAGTGTATATCTTTTTTTCTTTATTATTTTCTTGCTAACCCTACCACCCTAATTGGAGTAAACTAATGTCAACAACACTTTGGCTTCTACATTTTACAGACACAGTATAATTTACATTAGTTATCTTGTTTGTTTTTACCCTCAACCCCTCCCATCCATCTCTGAAGACCATCCAGTTTTGATTCGTTTTGTTTCACAAAAGTTCTGAACCTTTCTATTCTCAAGATTCTACAGATTGTACATTAAAGATAAAAAATTTTGCAAAAGTATTATTAATCAATTGACTATGACTTTTCAAATCACCCAGCAGTGCTATTTGCAGAGTTAGCTCCAGGTAAATATTGCAATTCTTCAGCCATTCTTCTGCGACCAAAAACAATCTACAGATGGACAGTACCAAAACAAATGATCTAATAATTCTGTCTCTGCGCATCAAAATATGCAGAGCTGGGATGGTTGTATCCCTATATACATTGCATTCGGAAAGTAGTCAGACACCCATTCTAAAATGGATGAAAAAATGTTTTTAAATAACTCAATCTACACACAATACCCCATAATGACAAAGCGAAAACAAGTTCAGAAATTTTTGCGAAAGTATTAAAAAGAAAGAAACTGAAATACCTCATTTACATAAGTATTCAGACCCTTTGCTATGAGACTCGAAATTGAGCTCAGGTGCATCCTGTTTCCATTGAGCATCCTTGAGATGTTTCTACAACTTGATTGGAGTCGACCTGTGGTAAATTCAATTGATAGGACATGATTTGGAAAGGCACACACCTGTCTATATAAGGTCCAACAGTTGACAGTGCATGTCAGAGCAAAAGCCATAAGGTCGAAGGAATTGTCCGTAGAGCTCTGAGACAGGATTGTGTCGAGGCACAGATCTGGGGAAGGGTACCAAAAAATGTCTGCAGATCCTTGATGAAAACCTGCTCCAGAGCGCTCAGGACCTCAGACTGGGGCGAAGGTTCATCTTCCAGCAGGACAACAACCCTAAGCACACAGCCATGACAACGTAGGAGTGGCTTCGGGACAAGTCTCTGAATGTCCTTGAGCGGCCCAGCCAGAGCCTGGACTTGAACCCGATCGACCATCTCTGGAGAGACCTGAAAATAGCGTTGCTCCCCATCCAACCTGACAGAGCTTGAGGATCTGCAGAGAAGAATGGGAGAAACTCCCCAAATACGGGTGTGCCAAGCTTGTGCTGCCAAAGGTGTTTCAACAAAGTACTGAGTAAAGGGTCTGAATACTTATGTAAAATTTGATCTTTGTTTTTTACTTTTTATAAAAATGTGCAACAATTTCTACAAACTTGTTTTTGCTTTGTTATTATGGGGTATTGTGTGTAGATTGATGAGTGGAAACAATTATTTAATCCATTTTAGAATAAGGCTGTAACGTAACAAAATGTGGGAAAAAATTAAGGGGTCTGTCTATACTTTCCGAATGCATCATTCTATTGGTTGCAAGAATTCTGTATAATTTCAATTAAAAAACTAATTTTGAATCCAGCGTTGTTTTGTGTATCAGTTCATTAACCATGTGCCATGGAGTCGGTACATCGCAAATCTCTTCCCAACTATTTTGCAATCTGTATGTCACAGCTGTACATTTTTTGGTCCTTAAATGAAAATGTTATACTTTTTTTTTTTTATCACTGTTTTCTTTAACCAATTTTGGTCTTTAATGCACTGACAAGTTCCTTACTTTCTCCTCCTTCCACTTTTGCGGTAATGCTCCTATTAGTTGGTTGTAATTTTGGATAGAGCAGACATTTCCATATATTTTTGTTAGCTGCATGCGTGACATAACTCCACCAGACCTATTTATGTTATAATTTACAAAGATTATACCTTTTTTAAACATGTTTTCCAAAAATAATGTTTATTTTATTAATTAGTATATTTGAGTTTAACAATAGTATTTGTTGTATTATTTGTTCTGTCTTTTCTGGTGGATTAAACTGAAATTGCAACCAACTTTCTATGGCTTGTTAAAAAAATTATGTGATGTGGTATTCTTGCCTCGACAAAAACATCGAGGCCAGCCCCTCCACACTGTCTAGACTCCAAAGCTCTGAGGAGCGCATCCTCATCGATGATGCCCCCACGTGCACAGTTCACGACCTTTACACCTTTCTTGCACTTTGCAAATGACGTGTCGTTCAGTAGTCCTAGGAGAAACAACAATTTAACCTCAAGTGGAAAATGTTTTTTGTTTGTTTGATGGTCGATGTAATCACTTTCCACCCTCCAGTACTACAACCATGCTACCTCTGTAAAACTCACCAGCTGTAGAAGGCATGAGGGGAGTGTGGACAGTGATGTAATCACACTGGGGCCACAGCTGCTCCAGAGACATCTGCTCCACCCCCCAGGTAGCAGTCACCTCAGGAGGGGTGATTGGATCATAGCCGATGGTCTGTCGAAAGCAAATTCAGTTACCACTATTGTGCTACAGTAGACAGCTTTTAAAGATCGTTTTACTTTTCACAGGATTATGAACTGACCTTCATGCCAAAGGACTGCATTCTGATGGCAACTTCCTTTCCAATTCTTCCAAGTCCAACTATTCCAAGTATTTTGCCGTACATCTCTGCGCCCATGAACTGCAAAATCATTAACACAACTTTGACCCAGGTCCCTGAAGAGTTTGAGACTCCATAGATTTAAAGATCAGATTTAATTAGTGATGATTGGATGGACACTGGGGTAGACCACGTGACAGTAATTGCTTTGTGTCAAAATAAAACTCCTAATGGAGGGAAGCCAAAATACTCTTTACCTTTTTACGATCCCAGTTCCCTGCTTTCATGGACATGGCTGCTTGTGGCACATGTCTAAGAAGATAATGGTTTTTAATGAAGTTATATCAAACTTTCCTGTAAAAGTAGGATGAAAAGGACAGATGGGGGTGTATAGTGCAAAGCAATGTCTAACCAATGCCATGAAATATGCCGAGAGGTAGTCTGTATCATCTGTTGTAGTGTCTTACCTTGAGAGGCTCATCAACAGGGTACATGTCAGCTCTGCAGCACTGATTGTGTTGCCACTTGGTGTGCTATAAAAGGGAAATTACACATACAATAGTCTAATATTCAGGGAAAATACATATCTGTGGTGATTTGATTTAGACATAGGAGTTGCCTTAAAACTATACACGGATGCATCAACAACTTAGGACTTATTTCGAATGATACTATTATTTTGCAAACTTACTTCATGACAATTATGCCCTTTATGGTGGCAGCATCCACATCCACGTTGTCAACGCCTGTCCCAGCTCTTCCAACAATTTTGAGGTTACCAGCAGCATTGATGACATCAGCTGTCACCTTTGTTGCAGATCGAACCACCAGGCCATCATATTCCTGGAGGTGGATTGAAAAGGAAAAATTATGAGCTGCATAGTGATGCCAGTGCATGAAAAAAAAAATTTGTTCATTGGAGTAATTTGAAGAGTTTAGGAATGAATTTATAGTTGGAATTGTTTCATGAATCAAACACATTCAAGTTATTGATTTGGCATCACATGGTGTCATGAGGAAGACAAGCCAAATATTAGATTAGTTGCCTCTGGTGTAATTGATCAAACTATGTATAGCCTACATTTTGAAAGTACCAGGTAGAATGGGTAGAAAGCCCCAGTCTAAATGTAATCCTATACGAGGGAAATCAGTCATTTCTGGCGCAGTTGCATCAGATTTCCAAGGCGGTACTACTATAGCGCGACACCAGAGAGGTCAGGATCGCACATGCAAGAATCCACTAAACTGCAATTGCTGTAAATCATCCGCAAAATAAAATCCAGTTGTAGGTTATTCAACCAATGACCAAACGCGATATACTTTTTCCATTTTATACATTTGATACCAACTTTGAAATGTTGCACATTTTAGAAAGTCATCGTGCAACAAAAATGCATGTCATGCCCGAAATGTTTAATACGAGGAATGCGTGCAAATGAGAAAATATGTAAACCCTTACCTTGATCTCCGCAATCAAGTCATCCTTACTCATGTTTTGCTTCTCTGTAACTTGGATTCCATTTTCTTGCAGGATCTTCTTACAACAAGGATCAACAATTTCACTTATTAAAATGCGTTTAATGGATATTGGGGCCATTTTGCTGTTCTCTCAACAGTTGGGTACAATTTCACAGATGAATGAGTGAACCGTTTTACGTAAACTGATGGACACGCTGAAAAGTTCTCAGTTCAGTTGGTTTTGAATAAATTAAAATAAAAATTCGGCTAAGGACTGCCCCTTTCAAAGTAAACCCGCCTCTTCTCATCTCCAGTTTTCTGACGTGATGCTGAAACAGGGAGAGGCAATATAGTGTAGCTGTAACCACATAAATGGTCTTTGCTATAATTTGTTGGACCAGAAATACTATGCAATCATCACCTGGCAATGTTGTACAGTAGTAATACAATTCTGCTGATTATTTGTTTTAAAGACAGATTTTATTTATTTATTAAAAATGTTCAAAACTGAATAAAAATTGTATTTGTGTGCAAGCCACACTCCCTTAAACATGGTACATTTGTAGCTGATTTCTCAAGAACATCAGTTCAGATTTAGTGAGCCAGCTTTCAAAGTCTGTGATAGGCTCCCTAAGCCAAGCACAGACTTAAGCACCTCAATTAGACTGACTATCACATGACAGGCCTTTCTCTGTTCATTACTTGGAATAAAACTGTAGCGTCAAACACCACCCTTAACATTACCCAGTCTTTCTATGGTTATGTAGTTAGCTGATCTATAATTTATCCTTTTAAAAAATGCAACATTATTTATCTAGTGGTCTGTGTATTATCTTGAATAGATATCTAGTTTACATACTTGTATTGTCTATACATATAGCTGGGCAAGCACTAGGAAAATAATGGACTAAAGGAGCCTAACTTTACTCCTTATAGTCCAAGGATTTTACATGTTCTGTTTGAAGGCGAATTGGCTCTGGAAGCCAAAACAGACAAATACGCCAGCTAAACGTGAATCGAAGCTCAATTGCGGTATGGATCTAAAAACATAAATGTAAAAATATTAAAGCAATAACTATGCATAGCACACCACAGCATAGCAACATTGTTATTCCATGACCATAACACTGTTGTTGTTTTTTCGTTTCTCCCATTATCAGTGCAAGCAGTTGAGCGGAAATGTTTAGGGATGCAACCACCAGATCTCCGAGAAGTCACTGTTTTGCCCAATGCCGAATGGCTCCGAATTCAAGGTAGTTTGAACCAGGGGAATAAAATTAAGGAGAGTCTAAAGGAAGCATCCAAACAATGAGAGGCTATGCACCTGAGGTCACCTGTAGACTTTCCATCACCATGAAGAAAAACAATGCACAATACAGTAATTGAGTACACCGAGAGATCAAGTGGTTTGTGATGATGTGGCTCAGTTGGTAGAGCATAGAAACTGCAATACTAGGGTTGTGGGTTTAATTCCCACATGGGAACCAGTACGAAAATGTATGCACTCACGACTGTAAGTTGCTGTAGATAAATAAGAGAGTCTACTGAAAAGGAATGAATAGACCATTTCAGTTTTCACATCGAAATATGTTGCATTTGCAAAGTTTTTCAAGAAACTGGAAAAAAGATCAAGTAAGTATTTGTATATTCCAGAAGTATTATCAAATTAACTTTTTTGTACAGATAATTATCACTCAAGTTACAAATGCTGGTAAACACTCAAACACAGTGCTTCGGAAAGTATTCAGACCCCTTTACCTTTTCCACATTTTGTTACAGCCTTATTCTAAAATTGATTAAAAACAACAAAAAATCCTCAGCAATCTACACACAATACTCCATAATGACAAAGTGAAAACAGGTTTTTAGGGAGGTGACCAAGAACCCGATGGTCACTCTGACAGAGCTCTAGAGTTCCTCTGTGAAGATGGGAGAACCTTTCAGAAGGACAACCATCTCTGCAGCACACCACCAATCAGGCCTTTATGGTAGAGTGACCAGATGGAAGCCACTCCTCAGTAAAAGGCACATGACAGCCCACTTGGAGTTTGCCAAAAGGCACCTAAAGACTCTCAGACCATGAGAAACAAGATTCTCTGGTCTGATGAAAACAAGTTTGAACTTTTTGGCCTGAATTTCAGCGGCAGGGACTGAGAGACTAGTCAGGATCGAGGCAAAGATGAACGGAGCAAAGTACAGAGAGATCCTTCATGAAAACCTGCTCCAGAGCGCTCAGGACGTCAGACTGGGGCGAAGGTTCACCTTCCAACAGGACAACGACCCTAAGCACACAGCCAAGACAACGCAGGAGTGTCTTCGGCACAAGTCTCTGAATGTCCTTGAATGGCCCAGCTAGAGCCCGGACTTGAACCTGATCGAACATCTCTGGAGAGACCTGAAAATAGCTGTGCAGCAACACTCCCAATCCAACCTGATAAAGCTTGAGAGGATCTGCAGAGAAGAATGGGAGAAACTCTCCAAATACAGGTGTGCCAAGCTTGTAGCATCATACCCAAGAAGACTCGAGGCTGTAATCGCTGCCAAAGGTGCTTCAACAAAGTACTGAGTAAAGGGTCTGAATACTTATGTAAATGTGATATTTCCGTTTTTTATTTTGTATAAATGAGCAAAAATTTCTAAAAACCTGTTTTTGCTTTGTCATTATGGGGTATTGTGTGTAGATTGAGGGGGGGAAAAACAATTTAATCAATTTTGAATAAGGCTGTAACATAACAAAATGTGGAAAAGGTCAAGGGGTCTGAATACTTTCCGAAGGCACTGTACATTTAGTTAAAAACCATTTCACTATTAGCGGACTGATATTGACGTCTTCAGCGCAGGCATTTTTTTTATTCTGCATCCGCACAAAACAGTAAGTCTCATTGAAGCCTAACAATCTGGCAGCAGTTACCAAATTGAATATCTATGTCATAGACTACCAAATACTCTACCATGAAGTCGAATTAATTTAAATGTAGTTCAAATAGAATAGACTGAATGCTCTCAATGGTTTAGTATGATGAATGGTCTCGTCCCTATTAGGGCTAGGGAACATGAAATAGAACGTGAGAAGCTGGAAGACAAGAAAGAGGCAGAGGAACTCCAGCGACTAAAATAGCTTTTTTCTGTGGGAGCAAGGCATGCAGGAGCAAAACTAAGAAGCGCAGCAGTGAAATATCATGAAACACATGTTAAGGTATTTGGATGTAATCAATGTTCAAATGTCTTACTCACTAGAGCAAAATTACACAAGATTCATTGTGGTGTATTAATAAATCCTGCATTTGTATTTAAAGAAGCGTCTATCTAACAGAGATATCATTAGAGCAATAGAGGCACAAAAGCAAGAGATGGAAGAAGAGCGCAGGAGGCCTTTTGCAAATGCAAAACAGAAAGTTGTGAAGTTAAGGAAAGACAAAGAGGAAGAGCTGTTCAGGTGAGTAGACCTAGGATGAGAAAGGAAATCACATGAGAAAACATTTGAAGTACCACAATAAGAAATTGGTATATCTGTGGCATCACTAGTCAACAGTGGTCTTACAATTCTGAAAGTCTCATGGACATAGATTTGCTAAGCCTCTTCTCCCTCCTAAGACAGGTCCATATGCACAGGGAGAGGATCATGAATAAATTGGCTCCACAACAGCAGGAGCAGACGGACAATGAGGAGGAGCTCATCGCCAAGGCTATTATTGCTCAACGTGATGCCAGACTGGCACAGCAGCAGAAGGAGATGGCTATGCTGGACTCCATTGCCTCACAGAGAGAAGCCATGGTATGGCATGTGGGGGTCAATCGCAAGGGGTCAATCAGGAGCTCAAAATATTATTCTCACCAAATTCAACTCTGAATTAATATTTATCAAGGAATAGGCCTGTATGTTACTAAAAACATGTTCCATTATCACAATTACACTGGATTTGTTATTTCAGAGACAAGAACAGGTGCAGAAGGAAAGAGAAGACAACCAGAAAGCCCTTGACATGCTTTATGCCAAGAAAGAGGCGGACAGAATATTTTTTGAAAAACAACATCTGATGGCACAGAAAATTAGAAGATGGAAGAACTTTAAAAGACTACGTTCGGGATCATTAAATGGTGAGCTTGGCTTGTATTTGCACTTTGCCTTTCCATGATTACGTTTCTTGATATTTTTTGGTATAATATCAGCCATTTTTGCAATGACACGTAGTGGAATGTGTCAGCAACTGCTACACTTATAATTAAGCAACATAAGATTTCATTTAACAATTTAAATATTTCTGTTTAGGTTGAAAAACATGCCAAGGAAGAACACATTAGAAAACAACAGGACTTTGAGACCAAAACTGCAGAGCTCATTGCTGTGGAGGAGAAGCAGTTCCAGCAGTATGCAAAGAATGTGATCGATACATACAGTACTTACTCCGCAAAGCTGCCAGCAAGGGAATTGGAGGTGGTCTTGGCCCCATCTTTGGAGGAGTTACTTGGTTCAAGATGACACTGGTGTCCAGATGCCCAATTATGTCAGCAGTATATCTCAGGAAGTCAAAGAGCTGAATGAAACATGGTATATTCAGCAATCCAAGAAAAAACTTGGATTCACATGGTAAAGATCTGTTCAAAAGAGCAACATGGGCTGCATTTACAGATCTTTTTTTCACTAATTGGTCTTTTGACCAATCAGATCAGCTCTGAAAGATCTGATGTAATTGGTCAAAAGAACAATCAGTAGAAGAAAGATCAGAATTGGGCTGCCTGTGTGAACGCAGCCATGGTCAGGTAAAGCATGATTAGAAAAATAAACCATTTATTACACATACAAAAAAAGAAACTTGATAGGCAAGTTCTTGACTGACATAGTGGGATGATTGCAGTCTTTTTCAGTGCTCAAAAATGATTAATCTCAGAATTATGGGAATGTAGAGATAGTGATGTGTCAGAAAAAAAAAAGTGTTTCATTTTGGGAATATACACTCAGTTCAATTAAAACTAGTGCATAAATTGGGAAACAATACTGATAGCCTGGTCCTAGATCTGTACCTACATGACAATAGTCAGAGTTGGATAAAGTACAGATCTGGGACCAGGGTATATAGTTCACCGGTTTCATTTTAATATAGCTTCCAATTGGCTCATTCATCCCCCTCCCTATGAACTATTCCACCAGATTAAAATGTGATGCATTAATGTTCTCTATATCTATTGTATAAATTGTCACTCTTCTGTTAAACAAACTATAGGCAATAAAACAAAAATTTTAAACATATCCTTTTATTTCAAAACAGATGTTTCATTAGGGAATATTGAATTCTGACCATTTATACAAAGCCAGTGGTTTTCATTTATAGTTCAAAGGAAAGTAACACCAGTATGAATTAACATGGTGGAACATCACAGCAATGCATTTACACCTTACTCTGGTGAGTGATTTTTAACATTTTAAAAGATGTACTGGGGGAAATCTGAACATAAACCGGCCTAACAAAAATGCATACAATAAAAAAAACAATGTCAGTTTCTAACTCATTTGAGACTGAGGTCAGGAAAAAGTTATGGTTCCCTGAAACAGCCAGGTAAACAATTAAATGGTATTTGTAACACCACAATAATTTTACAAAATGTCTGAGCTCTTATCAGCCCTTCAAATCAAATTGAGCATTCTCTCCTGACATCTACACTTAAGTCAGACAATCATTTCATATGTAGCACTTACAATATGTTCTGTGACAAATAATGAGATGGTTGGTAATTCAAACACTCAAAATGTTTAAAATATCCATGATTAATCATACTGGTGATGTATCCATGTAATATTAGTTAAGTTATGCATTAAGCCCAGAAAGAATACAACACAGGACATCAAACTCATCCCTTCCACTACAATTATCCCACAGGAATAACACGTCCCCTCAGTACGAGACCAGACAAAAAAAAGAAAAAAGAAACCTGACAAACATTTTAATGGCAGAAACGTTCCTTCCTACAGTCACCTGTTCAGTCATTTCACCACTTCCTTACTCCACTGACCATTACATTCCCAACATTTGGAAAATTAGTCTGACTGAACCCCCCCCCAAAAAACTAAAATGTCTCTTAGCAGTCAAAACTTATGAAATCTTAATTTGTACAAATATTCCAGAACTGGATCTGTTGTGGTATCTATTGTCTAAAATCGTTCTACAGCAGAACCTCCCACATTATTAGGCATAAACGTGTGAATTTTTCAGTTTGATAATGGACAAGAGTGAATATTTACTGGACTAATCACTGTCATCAGAACTTGAGCTGTACTTATTTTTCTTGCTGTGGTTTTTATCCTTCTCTTGGCTCTTTGACTTTTGATTCCGTTCAGGGCTTTTCCCTGCGTCTTTGGACTTGTGAGAGGACACCTTTTCTGGGCTGCCCTCCCTTTTCTTCTTGGAGATGGGGCTCTTTCTACCCCTGTCCTTCCCTTTGCCCGCCCCTTCGCTCTCAGAGTTGCTGCTCTTGGACCTCCTTCGTCTGCGAGTGTCTTCCCTGTCTCTGTTCTTCCTCTGATGAGATGAACATTCTTTGCTATGATCTCGATTGTTGCTCTTACTCCGGGAGCGCCTGCCTCTACGGGAGTCTCTGCTCTTACTCTTGTCTGGACTCCTTGTCCGGTCTCGGCTCTTGGATCTACCTCTCCTCTTGTCCTCTCTCTCTCTGTGACGCAGTCTTTCATTGCTCTTACTGCGCTCCCTACCTCGCTCTCTGTCCCGTCCTTGCTCTTTGTCTCGAGATGATGCATGTCTCCCCCTGTCCCTGCTTCTGCTGCTAGATCGGTTTCTGTCCTTTCCAGAGTTCCTCTCCTTGCTTCTAGACTTTGCCTTGAGCTTCTCACCATTGCTTCCTTTGGTCTCCTCTCGGTTCTTGTCAGCCGCAGTGGGTTTAGCGCGTTCTTTACTTCTATCACTGTCTTGAGTTCCAGACTCTGTGGCTTTTTCTTTATTGAGGTCTCGGTCCTTGCTTCTTCTTCCCCTCTTATCATCCCCTTTGCTATGTTTATGATCCCTCTCTCTACTTTTGGACCTAGCACTTTTCTCTTTGCTCTTACTGCGGCTTCGAGATTTGACCTTCTTTGCCTTGTGTTTGTCTTCAGTTTTAGAATGGTCCTTTTCTTTGCTCTTCGATCTATGGGAGCGACCTTTCTTCTCCTCTCTGTTTTTACTAGGGTTTCCAGCAGCGTTTTCATGCTTGTTTTCAGAGGTCTTCCTCTCTCTTCCTCTTGGAGCTATGCCACTCTCATTCCTGTCCTCTGTCATGTCACCCCTACAACATAAATACAGAGTAAAGTCACCCCCACAGCAAATGCACAATCCAAGTTAAGACTCTTTGAATAGACCTTAAATAACTGGCCCTTGGCTGATGATCACTTTTGGCAATAGGAGAAATTAGGCAATACTTGATAAGCTGCTTAACTAGATAATAATAAGCTGCTTTATACTTCAACAGCCTGATCAGTCCAGCACCGGCAGTTCAAATACTAAAAATAAAAAAGTAAGACTTACTTGTCACCCTTGATCCAACGGTCTCCGCTGGATGCTCTTGGTGCCCTTTGTGCACGCTGCATCTCCTGGCGCCAGTGTGGAGGAGTCTCGCTGCGCTGGAAACGGTCCCTTGACCTTGACCTGGAGTGTGACGGAGTTCGGTACCGCTGCAAGAAATTGATTAAATTAACATTAACTTTCTAGACCCTTGTTTCGCAGAAACTGTATGATAGTACTGTACTTGTTTGACAGTGCACTTACTCTTGGACCTCTGCCTTTAATCGTCCTGCCTGATCTTGTCATCAGAAGTCTCCTCTGATATGCTGACTGAGAATTAAACATTCTGCAACAAAGCAAAAATTAATTGACATGAATACACTGTAGTTCCCAGTTGTAAAGGTTCAGAATGAACTGGAATGTTGTTCAGTCTTGTCCATGAACTCACCTCTCCCTAGGCTTTTCCCTCTCCCTCTTTTTTTCCCTCTCCTTTCCAGCCTCATCTTTTTGCTGCTGAGGACTTCTCCTCATAAGGAAACTATTTTCTGGGATAACGGGGATTTCCTCTGGTCGTACCGTAGACGTAACCTCTTCCTCTTTCTCATCACCACTGCCAGGCTCAGACCTACAGACATTTAAAAATATATATTTATATATACACACACACCTTTATTTAACTAGGCAAGTCAGTTAAGAACAAATTCTTATTTACTATGACGGCCTTACAGACCAGACTTAAAACTTATGCTCTAATGAAGGCTGTTGTGAGAGTTCACATGCTACGAAACACATTAAAACAGTTAAGCTACAAACCTTTTATCTTTCTTCTTCTTCTGTTTCTTGTCCTTCTTTTTCTTGGACTCTTTCTTGTGCCTCTTCTTCCGTTTCTTGGATTCTTTATCAGAGTCACCCTCAGATTCAGAAGAGGAGTCGTCAGAACTGTCAGAGTCACTTGAGCTGTCGCTGCCACTGGAGACGGCCTGTTGTCTTTTTTTCTCTTCTTTTTTTGCTGTAAAAATGGTAGAGGAGACTTAACATAAGTGCTTAGGATACCTTTAAAAGTTCTGATCCTGATAATAAGACAGTCCAAGATCTCCAATCTAAAGCAATAACAAGCTTAAAACACCTTGCCTTTTTTTTTATTTATCCTACAAACCTTTTGACTTTGGAATGAGCTCGCCACAGTTCATAACTTTCACTTCAGAGTATGGTCTACTGCCGGCATCTGTCTTTTGACTCTCCATTGTTTGAACGACCTCTTGGCCAGAGATCACTTGGCCAAAAACCACATGGACACTAGAACAAAATCAGCAAGTTATAACAGGTGATAACAATGAAGAACAGATCGCTATTTATCTAACATGCTCTTATTAGCAAAAGACCATTCAATAATAATAATAATAATGCCATTTAGCAGATGCTTTTATCCAAAGTGACTTACAGTCATGAAGTTGTATTGTTAGTGATCCAATTTACATTTTAGTCATTTAGCAGATGCTCTTATCCAGAGCGACTTCCAATTAGTGAGTGCATACATTTTTCATACTGGCCCCCGTGGGAATCGAACACACAACCGTTGCAAGCGCCATGCTCTACCAACTGAGCTACAGGAGGGCCAATAGATTGTCAAACTAGGTTGCAATGCTTGTCCAAATACTATAACTTACCCATCCAAGTGTGGTGTGGGTTTTGTTGTTCTGTAGACCAGGATTAAAAAATTTGAGCAGAAGATTAGAATGAGAGTCAAACATAATTTTGTAGGTTTTGGTTCACTCAAGATGCTCGATTTATGAATGACCAACTGATAATAGCAAAGGCCTTTAAAATTATTTTAACATTGATTGACTTACATGAAAAACTGCGATCCATTGGTATCTTTACCCCTGTTTGCCATTGACAGGAGGTACTCCTTGTTATGTTTGACAGAGAAGCTTTCATCTAAGATACAGACAGGCCATTAGTTATTCCTTGAGGCTGGTTTTGATTAGAATATTGAACACAATCTGTAGAGTCCTACCTTCAAAGAATCCTCCATAGATAGATTCCCCTCCTTTTCCATTGCCTGATTTACAGAAGGAATATAGATATTAGAATATCTGGAAATAAAATATTTCTACATTTAGGTTGTTTAAGGCAAACACATATTTCATATACCTTCACTGAAGTCTCCTCCTTGAATCATGAAGTCCTTCACAATTCTGTGGAATAGGCATCCTTTGTAATGCAGAGGTTTTTGTGTACCTTTTCCAATTCCTTTCTCGCCTACACAGAAAGTAAAGTTTGAGTCAAAACAGAGATGACAATTTGTGCATAATCTAAAGATGGCACACTAATGTCAGACCAAGGCAAGAGAAAGTAAATTACCTGTGCAGAGGCATCTGAAGTTCTCACAGGTTTTGGGGCAGACATCAGAAAACAATTCTACCACAACTCTGCCAACTGCAAGAGAAAGCATGTTTGTGCACATTTTAGTAAAGCATCTCTAAATTTCTGAGATATGATTAACTGGATGGTAAGATCAAAATTGAAAAACGGTCTTCTTACCCAGCACGTTACTGATGCCAATGTCAAAGAAGCAGCGTGGACGCTGAAGTTTTATTCCCATTATCAAACTTCTGTAGCTGAAACAAACGTTTTTTGCTGTTAGCGTGCGTAGTTCGATAGCTAACGTAGCAAGTTGTTTACAAATACAAACATAACACCCATCTCTAACTACAAGCGGAGGCTAATATAGCGTATTCATTCATTGGCAAAACAACCGCATGGCGTATCAAAAACTTGACTAGATAGTTAAGGTTAGCGGAGTTAAAAACGAGCTTTATCAACATGAATTAAATAACGTTAATATCTAGAGGAAACAATGTAAACTAAAATCAAATGTTCATGCTAGCTAGCTAGCTAGGTAATGTGGTCTTGCGGATTGTGGCCTGCAAGTAGCTACGCTGCTACAACTATTAGCTACTGTTAACGTTAGCTGGTACTCTCTAGATCCCTGTCTTTCCTTTGACTCAACGCTATTTCAAATGGACATAATTTACAATAGCGTAAATATTATAGAGTTGACCTACAAATTATCTCAGTTAGTCAACTGAGGCCAATATCTCACGGTAGTTCTTCTCAACAAGGTGAAATCGAGTTTCATTCAGCGCTTCCTCCACAATGTTTTCTAAAGATGGCGCGACGGGAAACGTCAGTGCATTTTGGGTAAAAAAGATGCGCCAGTCAGCGCGCAGAAGACGACCTTTCACACGTGCGGTCCCTGGTATATCTGTCTGGTTTGGGCTGTTATGATGATCGCTCATAATGCAAACACAAAACAATTTGATAAAATATAAAAAAATGTATCAGTTATTGTTTACCTGCTGCTTGTGTAGAGTACATAAACTAGGGGACAAAATGATTACATGTTATTTATGTGAGGGACTTTCTCATGGATTACGGTAAAATATACAGTATTTTGAAAAAAGTACGGTAGCATACCACAGCCAAGAGACTCAAGTCAAAACCTGATGTAGCCATTTAGCTAGCTGGAGAAGTCAAATAGATACATTATACTAGTTTGTTAGGTAGATTTCACTCTAATTCATAATTTGATATAACTGAAACGAACAGAGACTTACAGCAGTCAACGCTTAAACAGCAAGATGTGTTAGGGACGGGACTGACTTTGGCACTGCCCTGTCCCCACGTGAGTAGCACACGCTTTTATAATAATTGTGATTGTCACTGCTAAGGCTTGAAAGTCAAGTCCTTGATTTTCCAGTGATTTGGTATAGTAACTTACTACTTTACCCGTTATGATAAGAATTTGCCAAGTATATTATTTCGTGATATTGTAATTATACTGTATAGGCATGTTTGTTTGATATAATTAGTAATATATAAGGCCGTCATCAGTGTCAGTCAGCTGTGTTGTTGGTGACATTGTTGCTGGATGCATGAATGAATGGTTTCGGCATTTACCTTAATGTCACATTATTCATTTTGTGGAGAAGTGGAGATATGTATTTAGCTTTGCTATATCTTGCATGGAACTCTCTTTCTACAGATGTTTCACTTAAGGAATATGCAGGCAGCTTTCCTTCCCTGTGGATTTGAAGTTATGTGGGCCTGATATTGGCAGTGGTTAGTTTACCTTCTAAATATGTGGACTTCCATTGTCACTTGAACTAGGCCAGGTCTTCCATGTCCATGTTTCGGCTCCGAGCTGTGACTGGGAGCTGCTACCTGCGCAGGTTTCTGCATGGGGGGGCAGCGAACCGGGACCATGTTTTGGAGCAGCTTGGCATCTGCTCTGGTGAAGACCAAGTGTTGGAGGTGGTGGGCAAGAACAAGGCCAAGCTGACTGTGAACCATGTTGGCTGTGCCATGGGCATGCTCTGGCAGTTCCAGAAGGAGAAGCCACAGATGTTGAGAACAGTTGAGTTCATCAAAAGCCACCCAGAGTTCCTGACTCTCCGGGTGCTGGCTGAGAACAAAATTGAGCTCATGGATGATGTCACGTTGGTGGACATGCTCTACAATGTTCTCAGGTACAGATGTTGGCTAAGTGGTGGTTAAGCATATATACTTAGTCCTGAAATGTTTGTTTACATTTTCACAGCAATGTTGTATTTTCTAATTTGAAGGCTCAATGTGGAACCATATGATTCTCTTGCTCAGCATTTGGTGTCAGAGGCCTGGCTCAGATTATACAGGTAAATCGATAACATTTTGTTATTTTGCTATTGAATACTACATACTTAAAGCAGAACCATTCTCTTTTAACATGGGGGTGTGAGCTGGTGTACAGATGTGGATTGATTCACTGTTTTGCAGATTGCCAATGCCATCACTGTCCAAGTTTGCTGTCTGCCTAAGTGATCAACATCTGCAGCACAGTCCTCTAATGGGTCAAATCACTGACATTTTGAATCAGAAACTCTCCTCAATTGATGATGCCAGGTACAAAAAAAACATCAGTATTGGTAAGTCCTTGATACTACTCCTTAATTTTTCAAATTTCTGGACATGTCTCTGCAGGATCCTGACAACCCTCATGATCAGCGTGACATCTTTGGTGTCCCCTCATCTGCGGGATAAACTCATCAGTAAGGCAGATCATCTCCTGGACACCATGGATCCCTCACACTACAACAACCCCAGGAGGATGGTGCAGTTCCTGCGCAACATCAAGTATAGTTACCGTCCCCTGCTGGAGAAGTGCAACCATATTCTCCTGCGCAATGTTCCCCAACTAGATGCAGAGAACATAAGCATCATCATGGGGCTCTACCAGTCACTGCAGTTCAACAACTGCGACTTCCGTCTGGCTGCAAAACAGAGGCTAATGGAACTTGTGGATTCGAGCGCAGACCCTTTCTCCTTCACCAAACTGTTTGTTGCTCTTGGGCCTATGGCAGGGCAGGACACCAAAGAGAGGTAGATTGAACATTTTAGTATGCCGAAACCATAACCTGTTTCAATAACTGTATAGTTTTACAACTTTTAATCCTGATGCAAGTTCAATTCACACACTATTTTTCAACTAATTTACATTGCCTTCAGAAAGTATTCACACCCCTTATAATATATAATATGCCATTTAGCAGACGCTTTTATCCAAAGCGACTTACAGTCATGTGCGCATACATTTTTACGTATGGGTGGTCCCGGGGATTGAACCCACTACCCTGGCGTTACAAGCGCCATGCTCTACCAATTGAGCTACAGAGGACCACACTTGACTTTTTCGACATTTTGTTGTGTTACAAAGTGGGATTAAAATGGATTTAATTGTAATTTTTGGTCAACAATATACATAAAATACTCTAATGTCAAAGTGGAAGAAAAAGTATAATTTTTAATTAATGGCAAATAAAACACTCATATTTTGATTAGATAAGTATTCAACCCCCTGAGTCAATACATGTTAGAATCACCTTTGGCAGCGACTACCACTGTGAGTCTTTCTGGGTTAGTCTCTAAGAGCTTTGCGAACCTGGATTGTACAATATTTGCCTGTTTTTCTTTCAAAAAATTATTCAAGCTCTGTCAAGTTGGTTGTTGATCATTGCTAGACAGCCATTTTCAAGTCTTACCATAGATTTCCAAGCCAATTGAAGTCAAAACTGTAACTAGGCCACTCAGGAACATTCAATGTCATCTTGGTAAGTAACTCCAGTGTATATTTGGCCTTGTGTTTTAGGTTATTGTCCTGCTGAAAGGTGGATTTGTCTCCCAGTGGATTTGTCTCCCAGAAAGACTGAACCAGGTTTTCCTCTAGGAGTTTGCCTGTGCTTAGCTCTAATTATTTTATTATTATCCTAAAAAAACTCCCTAGTCCTTGTCGATGACAAGCATACACATGATGCAGCCACCACCATTCTTGAAAATATGAGGAGTGGTACTCAGTGATGTGTTGTGTTGGATTTGCCCCAAACATAATGCTTTGTATTCAGGACAAAACATGTATTTGCCACATGTTTTGCAGTATTACTTTAGTGCCTTATTGCAATCAGGATGCATGTTTTGTAATATTTTTTTTCTGTTCTGGCTTCCTTCTTTTCACTCTGTCAATTAGGTTAGTATTGTGGAGTAAGTACAATGTTGTTGATCCATCCTCCATTTTCTCCTATCACAGCCATTTAACTCTGTAACTGGTTTAAAATCACCATTGGCCTCATGGTGAAATTCCTGAGCGGTTTCTTTCCTCTCCGTCAACTGAGTTAAAAGGACACCTGTATCTTTGTAGTGACTGGGTGTATTGATACACCATCCAAAGTGTAATTAATAACTTCACCATGCTCAAAGGGAATTTCAATGCCCTTCTTTGCGAGGCATTGGAAAACCTCCCTGGTTTTTTTAAGTTGAATCTGTGCTTGAAATTCACTGCTCGACTGAGGGACCATACATGTAATTGTATGTGTGGGTTACAGAGATGGGGTAGTCATTCAAACATCATGTTAAACACCATTATTGCACACAGAGTTAGTCCATGCAACTTATTATCGGACTTTTTAAGCTAATTTTTACTCCTGAAGTTATTTAGGCTTGCAATAACAAAGGGGTTGAATCTAGACATTTCGGCTTTTCATTTTTAATTAATTTGTAAACATTTCTAAAAACATAATTCCACTTTGAGATGATGGGGAATTGTGTGTAGATCAGTGACACATCTCAATTGAATCCATTTAAAATACAGGCTGTAATACAACAAAATGTGGAAAAAGTCAAGGGGTGTGAATACTTTCTGAAGACACTAACCACTTCTCTTTCAGGCTGGAGAGTACAGCACTGCTAATGGCAGAAGAGTTTAATGCCCAGCAGGCCCTAGCTGTGGCAGAGACACTAGAGGAGATTCAGTGTAGAAACCTGAATCTGATCCAAAAGTAAGTTCATTCTCTGTTACAGCCATGTCTGAATGTTGCATGTAGACAGTAGAACTAAGACGAGTTCCTTTTCAGTCAGTTAACTTTGGTACAACATACTATGGGGAGTCGCACTCTCGCGACTTCGGTTGAAGGATCTACAATCACGCCTGACAAGTCCAATGAAATCCGCACCTTGCTGGAAGCCCTGCCTTCTCGGATTAATTCCTTCAATTATTCTGTGTTTCACCTCGGTGTGAACAGGAACGATTCACGCTACTAAAACAAACTACGTTGCGCCAACTAAACTGTCCCATAGTGGGAGAGAGTGCTCACCCCCTGGATGTTGTGTACTGAAGTTTGTACATGTTCTCATAAATTTTCTGATCACAGACGATTAGTTATTCTTCAATTTGCTGGTGCAATGAGTAAAATGGCTAAGAAAATGACCGAGACGACGATGGCTAAGCCGGGGTCGATCATGCCCCCAGTCATGCGATTACGGCATTTCTCTGAAAGATAGGGGAAAGGGATCTATGTGTAGTTTGTCTCGGCTTGGAGCCCGCTCAGGCGGCCCTCACTCAAACCAGTCCGTGTGCGCATTTTCACGTACTGTGTACAAACTCCCTGGAAAGACATGTAGCATTCTTGAGGAAGCTTGGAATTACAGATGGCTACTTTCCTTTCCCGGATGCCAGGAAGCAGAGTTAGATTGGGTGGTCGGTACAAATGTCTGCGTGGGGTATGCGGTGGCTGCCCGTGCCCAACCTGTCTCCTGTATGCTCTGTTGCCGGTTATGGGAGGCTACTCAAAGAGAGAGGGCGGCCATGTTCTGTGGGTACCTCCCTGCCGCCTGTGTCTGTCTCGGTCAAGCACCGATTGCCTCTCTTCCCAGACTTGTTGATGAAGTGTCCGGTCCCAATGGTGGAGTTGCTGGGGTAGCTCTCTTGTTTAGTATACGTAGCGTTAAGTCACTTGGTTATTCTAAACGGACCGTGTTGCGGTCAAATAGTCTAGCTAGCCTAGCTTAGGCTAAAAAGCCCCCTGGCTAACGTTGGCTAGCATGCTTAACTTCCCTTGACTGGAAGTTATTCGCTTTCCCACGGCGTTATGGCAACCCTATTCCTATTTTCAATTCCTGGAGTTCACAGGTATTAAAAGTGTTGTCTTCCGTATGTGAGTTCGATGAAAAGTGTTCCTTCTCCATTTTCAGACATATAGTTATCAAGAGTGGTAGAAATGGAAGAAGAACCCATTTCTCCCAGTCCACAAGGTGGCGTCCCGCCCCTTCAGATGGCACGTCACGGTAGTCTCGTTGTCTTCTCCAACCAATGGTGCGCATGTGCAGTGTCGCCCTGGTCATGCGAATGTTGACGTCAAGGTACAGGCTACAATTTGTGTGCGTCCCCCACACTTCTGCAGCATCATCACATCGACTGTTCCCGAGGCCTCAGTGCCCGTTTTGAGGAACGAAATATCCTCCCGTCTCCAGAAGCAGGCAATCTGAGTGGTTCCTATGTCAAAGATCCGGGACTGTGCCGGTATACCTGGTTACGAAAAGGGACAGACGGGACATTACATCCCATTCTAGACATACGTGCCCTCAGCAAGTACCTCAGTCTACAAACTCAGAATGCTCACGAGCTGCCGGCTATTACAGCGATTGGCTGGTGGCAGTGGAGTCTAGGGGGCAAGCAGTGTTCCACACATCCATGCTACTGTCCCGTATTCAGTCTCTAGGCTTCCAGAAAAAGATCTGTCTGACTCCATCTCAGCGCATTCTGTTTCTGGGTCTCGCGCTAGACTCACTCGTGTATCACACTTTTCTAACCCCACAGAGGGTGTCTGGGTTCTGGGCCTGCTTAGCCAAATTTTGGCTCGGTCACACAAAACGTTTTTGCCAGTCGCTTTGGGTGTCCCTGTCAGGCCTCCGGGCCATGGCCCAGTGGTGGGACCCTCTGCTATTGTTAGGGGGCTCCCATGGGCTGAGTTATATCCTGCAAGGTGATCACGACAAACACATTCCTCCGAGGATGGGGTGCTCTGTACGAAGGCAATTCGATTCGTGGGGTATGGACACTGGTGCAGAGCACACTGCATGTCAATTACCCGGAGTATCTGGGGCTCAGGCGCTTCCCCTTGTTTTTGTCGGGCTGGCTTGTGCTGGTCAGAACCGTCTATGTCAGTGGTGGCGTGCATCAACAGATGGGGAGAGACTCTGTCTCTTTCCCTCCTAACCTTGGATCGCTCCCTATTGCTGGGGAGCAGTGCGCCCAGGTATGGGACATTTTCGTCAGGGCCGACTTAAATCTTTATGCATTGCGAAAAAATGCACAGTGTCGTCTATTTTTCTCTATAAGGGACCCAAGTGCCCCTTTGGGAACTGACGCACCAGTGGCCTCAGACCCTCCTTTACGCAGTTCCACCAGTGGTTCTGATTCAGCCCACGTTGGAGTGGGTGCACCGGGAAGGCTTACCATTGATTCTTGTGGCTCCCCGTTGGCCCAAGCAGCCTTGGTTCGCCTTTTAGACGAGGACCCGTGGAAACTTCCATTGCACAGGGACCTGTTATTCTAGGTGCACAGGCAGGTTTGGCAAGCGAGGCCAGAGATTTGGTTCCTATGGGCTTGGCCCCTAAGAGGGCCAATTATTGCTACCATTCAGTCTGCAAGGGCGCCCTCCGAGGGCTGTATGTGTATAAGTGGCAAATGTGAGCTCTGGTGCTAAGATAAAGGACTTTTCTGTGCATTTCAGTACTCTGTGAGGGACATCCTTATGTTCCCACAGGAGCTTTTCAAGCATTCTCAACTTTAAAAGAGTACATGGCCGCTGTCTCAGCGTGTCATGTGAGAATTGACGGAACCTCACCGGGGGCTCACCTCCTGGTGGTGCTGTTCCTGGAAGGTGTACGTCATCTCAGACCAGTCTCTAAACCTATTGCGCCCACATGGGACTTTGCGCTGGTTTTGGAGGCACTGTGTGCGACCCCCTTTGAGCCTCTGTAGTCGGTGGATCTGAAGATACTCTCCTACAAAACCTCCCTGCTCATGGCTTTGGCCTCGGCTAAACTTGTTGGAGACAACCGCGTTATCCGTACACCCTTCCTGTACTCAGTTTGACCGGGTCGACTCTTAGGGTGACGTTGCATCCAAATGCTACCTTCGCCCCGGAAGTCATGGCTATGTCCTAGATGTCCTTAGCTTTTGAGCTATTTCCCTTTTCGCCACCTCCTTTTGCTTCTGAAGAGCAACAGAGGTTACATGCCCTGTGTCCAGTGCGAACTGACGCGGGATATCCGCTTATGTGACCAACTTTTTGTCTGTTTAGCTAATCCAGCTTGCGGCAGGGCGCTCCCTAAGCAGCGTCTCTCCCACTGGATTGTGGAGGCTATCTCCCTGGCATATAGCAGCAACGGGCAAGGGTTACCTAGTGATGTACGCGCCCACTCCACCAGGGGTCTGGCAGCGTCTTGGGCGTTGTTTAAAGGGTTGAATATAGGAGATATTTGCGCTGCGTAGAGTTGGGCATCACCGCACACTTTTGTGAGGTTTTATCGCTTGGATGTAACTGCTCCCAGTATAGCACAGTGTGCTTATGGCTGGGACAGGGGATTGTCACTAGGCAGTGCGCCGTGTGCGCAATATCCAGTCTGCCGCATTTGGCGGGGTCAGGTCTGGGTGGTCTGCCATGGGCCGTTTCATTTATACTGAACAAAAATGTAAAGTTACAGTCAATTGAAATACATTTATTAGGCCCTAATCTATGGATTTCACATGACTGGGAATACAGATATGCATCTGTTGGTCACAGATACCTTTAAAAAAAAGGTAGGGACGTGGATCAGAAAGCTAGTCAGTATCTGGTGTGACCACCATTTGCTTCATGCAGTACGACACATCTCCTTCGCATAGAGTTGATAAGACTGTTGATTGTGGCCTGTGGAATGTTGACCCACTCCACTTCAATGGCTGTAGAAGTTGCTGGCTATTGGTGGGAACTGGAACATGCTGCCGTACACATCAATCCAGATCATCCCAAACATGCTCAATGGCTGACATGTCTGGTGAGTATGCAGGCCATGGAAGAACTGGGACATTTTCAGCTTCCAGGATTGTGTACAGCTCCTTGCGACATGGGGCCATGCATTCTCATAGTGAAACATGAGGTGATGGCGGCGGATGACTGGCACGAAAATGGGCCTCAGGATCTCGTCACGGTATCTCTGTGCATTCAAATTGCCATCGATAAAATGTAATTGTGTTCATTGTCCGTAGCTTATGCCTGCCCATACCGTAAACCCACCGCCACCATGGGACACTCTGTTCTCATTGTTGACATCAGCAAACCGCTCGCCCACATAATGCCATACACGTGGTCTGCGGTTGTGAGGCCGGTTGGACATATTGCCAAATTCTCTAAAACGATGTTGGAGGTGGCTTATGATAGAGAAATGAACATTTTAATTATCTTACAACAGCTCTGGTGGTTATTCCTGCAGTCAGCATGCCAATTGCACACTCCTTCAAAACTTGAGACATCTGTGGCATTGTGTTGTGTGACAAAACTGCACATTTTAGTGGCCTTTTATTGTCCCCAGCACAATGTGCACCTGTGTAATGATCAGGCTGTTTAATCAGCTTCTTGATATGCAAAGGAGAAAGGCTCACTAACAGGGATGTAAACAAATTGGAGCCAAAAATGTTAGAGAAATAAGCTTTTAGCGCATATGGAACATTTCTGGGATCTTTTATTTCAGCTCATGAAACATGGGACCAACACTTTACATGTTGCATTTTATATTTTTGTTCAGTGTAGTATCCGTAGGGGTCGGCTTGGGGCGTGATTATATTTCCCCATAGTATGTTGTACCAAAGTTGACTGACTGAAACTACTGTTCCCTGAAGGAGGGAAATGAGGTACAACACCTGTTTCGCCCCACACCGCCCGTTCCTTGTGCTCGGTGAAGAGTGGTATTAAATTGAAGGAATGAATCCGAGCCTCACGCTTATCACCTGTGGAAGGTGGGGCTTCCAGCGAGGCGCAGATTTCATTGGCCTTGTCAGGCGTGATTGTAGATCCTTCAACCGAAGTCGCGAGAGTGCGACTCCCCATAGTATGTTGTACCTCGTTTCCCCTCCTTCAGGGAACAGTAGTTATAGTCATAATGTTACGTTGTCTCTTTACAGGATTGCATCAGTAGTCCACAAGAACCTGCATGTCTACAAGCCCATGGAGATAGCCAGGATCACACAAGCCCTGATCCTGCTGCATTACCAGAGTCCAGAGCTCTTCACTAAATTAAGGAACATTCTGGTTCAGTGAGTAATTATTGTAAAGAATTCTCTGCCCACTAAGCTCCTTTATGTTTGTAGACAGGTCACTCTTATTGCATACTATACAGTATGAGTAAGCTAATACAACTTCTTCTCACAGCTTCTTGCTGGACAGTGTCTACCCATATGAAGTGACCATGCTGACTCGTGTTCTCTCCATGCTACCTTCACCTCGACTCGACGAAGGCGTCATTTCACGGGTGGAGGCAGTGCTGCCCCAGTGTAATCTGAATGACCTTAACACCTTTGCAATGGCCATCGCTAAGTGGGTGCGCAATGACCCGTCCTACCGACACAACACGCCCAGCAAGTATGTGTGTCTGCTACAGACACTGAACCGCTGCGGGCATGAGCGCCTGCGCAAGGCTGACCGCCTGGACTTGGTGTTGGAGGAGCTCAAGTATATGTCAGGGGAATGGTTTGAGGAGATGCTGCTGGAGGAGACCATGGTTACACTCCAGAGGTTGGAGGGACAGATATCCTGGACCAATGTGCCTGAGATGGCCCTTTTCCTGACCAGGACTAATCACCTCTGTACTCCATTAATGGACCGCATCGCTAGCGTGACCATGGAGCATATCAACAAGGTACTTTCAGACATGACACATTACCTTTTATTTCACATTAGGGAATACTGTTATATTGCCTGTATGTATGTATGTATGTATGTATGTATGTATGTAGAGACATAGAATGTAAGTATAGTATATAACTATTTTGTTTCTCTTTCCTGAAGATTCACTACTCAGCGACTTATGCCACCTTGCTGCCCTTTGCTGTACTGAATTATGATCCACCGAGGGTGGATGAGCTGTTTGACATCTGCATTCAGCGCGCCGTACCTCATATCAGTAAGTGATTGTGGATTATGTTATATTTTTGGAACTCATCAAAAGGACCAGCCAAATACATTGATCTTCTTCCTCCAGGTTCCTTTGACCCCCATCTGATGGTACTTCTTGCATACGCCCTGGCTGTGGCTGACTGCTTCCCAGAGGACCTGGTTAGAGAAATCTTCAATGTGGATTTCCTTGCCAAGCTGGATTCCCAGTTAGAAAGTATGTTATCGAATTATATTAGAAATGTGTGAATGAATACAAACATCTATCATGTTTCCCTTACTATCTAAAAAATAAAATCCAATCAAGGTTGAATTTGATACAAATGCAAAACAATATAAACTCAGTGGCCAGTCTACTAGGTACACCAATCTAGTACCGGGTCGGACCCCCCCTTTGCCATTACCATTACACCACTGCCACCAACCTGTATCGTTGACACCAGGCAGGATGGGGCCATGGACTCATGCTGCTTACGCCAAATCCTGACTCTGCCATCGGTATGACGCAGCAGGAACCAGGATTCGTCGGACCAGGCAACGTTTTTCCACTCCTCTGTTGTCCAGTGTTGGTGATCGTGAGCCTATTGGAGCCGCTTCTTCTTGTTTTTATCTCATAGGAGTGGAACCCAGTGTGGTCGTCTGCTGCAATAGCCCATCTGTGACAAGGACTGACAAGTTGTGCGTTCTGAGATGCCGTTCTGCACACCACTGTTGTACTGTACCGTTATTTGCCTGTTTGTGGCCCGCCTGTTAGCTTGCACGATTCTTGCCATTCTCCTTCGACCTCTCATCAACGAGCTGTTTTCTTCCACAGGACTGCTGCTGACTGGATGTTTTTTGTTTGTCGCATCATTCTCGGTAAACCCTAGACCCTGTCGTGCGTGAAAAGCCCAGGAGGCCGGCCGTTTCTGAGATACTGGAACCGGTGCACCTGGCACCGACAATCATACCACGCTCACAGTTTTGCCCATTCTAACATTCAATCGAACAGTAAATGAATGCCTCGATGCCGGTCTGCCTGCTTTATATAGCAAGCCATGGCCACATCACTCACTGTCTGTAGGAGCTAACCCTTTTTGTGAACAGGGTGGTGTACCTAATAAACTGGCGTGTAGTATAAAAAGGTTGTATTATAAGAAGGTTGAATGTTATGAGATAAGGCTGGTGGGATAAGCTAAACTCTCTATTTTGTGGTAGCCCTGCCTGACGCCCTCAACAAGCGGATCCGCCTGCGTCTCATGGAGCTAAATCGAGCTGTGTGTCTGGAGTGTCCAGAGTCCCAGGTGCCCTGGTTCCACGAGCGTTACTGCCAACAGTTACAGAAGAAAGGTGAGCCAATACTGAATTTTTTTTTTTTTACTGATATTTGTGGATGTCCCCAGTTCCTACTTCACAAATGTTGAGGGTTTAATTTCACGCTTACTTTTGTCAGGGAATTGTTCCATCAGTCCTGTCCAACAACAAATCCACAAAATGCTTGGGGAAGTTCTTGGAGGGATTAATTGTGCCAGAGTGGCAGTGCTCACTCCTTATTTCTACACAGTAGGTGGGTAATACACAGGATTGGATTGCAACATGTTTGATAGCAGTTGGCTCCTCCCTTACGAAAAAAGATTGCAGCCAGAGTGCAGTATAACGACAGTATGCTGTAAATACTGCATCCAAAATGTTTGTTTTTTACTGCAGTAATTTTGCAGTGTAACTGTAGTTAGAGTGCAGTTCAACTGCAGTACACTGCAGTTATTCTGCAATCACTGCGTCCAAAATACCACAGTCGACTGCAGTTACTGCACTTTTACTGGTTTCAAAACTGCAATCTTTTTTTGTAAGGCCTGAGTCCTGACCATGTGTTATGTTAGTGGATTAGTATTACACTAAAAACGTAATCAAATGTGTGTGTCACCTGTTGTTCTAGTTGTGTGCTGTATTTCCTCTTATCTCCCTAGACTTTGAATGTGTTCTGGACAGACACCACCAGGCGGTAGCCTACAGTGAGCAAAGTCAGCTGCAGATATCTGAAGATGGGAAGGTCCGCTGGGGTTCTGACTCTGTAGGGAAGGAGAGGAGTGAGGTCCCTCCAGGTGCACAACGGTAGGAAACTTTATTGGTAGATTTCAGAACTTTTGGTTGAAAATGTTTTGCTGATGTGCAACACATGGGTAAACACATTGAAAGGGATTTCACAGGTACTGATGTTTTTCCTTTTTCACTTGCTCAGTGTTGCTGTGGACTTCTTGGATTCCAAATCCTTCTGCAAAAACTCTCGTCACATGAAAGGGGAAGCCATGATGAGAAAGAGACATCTGGAGATTCTGGGATATCATGTTGTCCAGGTATGTGTGTGAAATATAATCTGTCTGTACTGAAAGTGGTATTAATGTATATAAAATTGTACATCACTGATTAATGGTAATGTCATTTAAACAGATCCCTCATTTTGAATGGAACTCTATGGAGCTCTCCACACAGGATGCATGGAAGGAATACCTTAGGAAGAAGATATTTACTGGGCTTCCCTGAAGCACCTAGATGTTGAATCAATGACATGTGTTATATTGCTTTTGCTACTGAACTGTGAGAGAAAAAGTCTGCCTTTGGAAATTTATATTTGCAGGCAGGTCATTGACAATTATTGTTAAGCATTAGATGTTTATCAAGTGCTCCTTATTGCCTACTCCAAAGCCTAAAGGGGACATGGAGCTAACTCACCTCCTGCCAAGATAAATTCTATCAGGCTTTTTATATGAACTGTAACATTTGTCAAACAATAATAAATGTTTGTAATAAATAAAAAAATGCTTTGTTTTTGGGGTTTTGATTCATCCATTGAATCTGTCCCACATAAATATAATACATTGAGCAGGAATACATGTACATAGGAAAACTTTAGGGTACAAACTGTTTACTTTACAAAGATGGGCAACAGAATACAATGCTATAATACAATGTTATTATGGTGGGTTACAATCCTGAAGGATCCGGATTATAGTCACTTAAAAAAAAAAAAAAGTGCAGTCCTCCATGTTACATCTAGACAGTACAGTACTGTACATATTTTATTCTTGTTCACAATTTGGGCATTTTGGCTGCATTGAGGTGCATAGACACACAGGAGGCCCCTGCGGCATAACGCATCGCTTTGAGCATTCGGGTCCACTCATTCTTGTCCTCTTCATACCTGCCACAGGAGAAAAGAGAAGTTAGATGTTATACCCAGTGTTGCCATGTTCAGGGTTTTCCTGCAATTGGGCTACTTTGAAAACGATGTCACGGGTGAAAATGTATTGGTGGTGGGTTTTTGGGCTACTTCTAAAATGCACCGCAGCCGCCATGGCATAAAAAATATATATATTTCACAGTGATCTGCTGCTGCTGACTATCAGGCTGTGAGCAGGCTGATACTGAGTGAGTGAGTGAGGGAATGGTGGAGAGGGGAGGGCTGGAGGGGTGTGTGTGCGTTGAGGGAACTGGTTGAGAGAGTGCTGTAGCTGAGTCATGGAGACAGAGAAGCAAACGCGCACGTCGTGACAACTTATTACCAGTTGTAGTTAGGCTATTTAGATTTGGTCATTATGGAGACACCCTTTTTCCATAAAACATTAAAGCGCACTAGAGCCGCACTAGAGCTCTTTAGAAAAATTAGAAAAACTCAGAGGTGGTTTAAAGTAAACTGCATTCTAATGTAGACTTTTCTTTTGGATAACAGTATCAAGCTAAGGGTTTTATCATGCTCAGTTTTAGGTTCTGGAGCGCTGCAGGAGTGGAAATTTGAAATGGAAGTTATGGAACTCCCTCGTGTGCTTGTGTTATGGGACAAAGTCCACAATGAAAATGATATTAAATGTGGAGAATGATAGGCTACATTTGCATCTGTTGGCCATCAAGTAGGCTATTAATTTATATGCTATTGCAGGCTACTGTAGCCTACCATTTCATACAATAAATATACACTGCTCAAAAAAATTAAGGGAACACTTAAACAACACAATGTAACTCCAAGTCAATCACACTTCTGTGAAATCAAACTGTCCACTTAGGAAGCAACACTGATTGACAATACATTTCACATGCTGTTGTGCAAATGGAATAGACAACAGGTGGAAATTATAGGCAATTAGCAAGACACCCCCAATAAATGACTGGTTTTGCAGGTGGTGACCACAGACCACTTCTCAGTTCCTATGCTTCCTGGCTGATGTTTTGGTCACTTTTGAATGCTGGCGGTGCTTTCAATCTAGTGGTAGCATGAGACGGAGTCTACAACCCACACAAGTGGCTCAGGTAGTGCAGCTCATCCAGGATGGCACATCAATGCGAGCTGTGGCAAGAAGGTTTGCTGTGTCTGTCAGCGTAGAGTCCAGAGCATGGAGGCGCTACCAGGAGACAGGCCAGTACATCAGGAGACGTGGAGGAGGCCGTAGGAGGGCAACAACCCAGCAGCAGGACTGCTCCCTCCGCCTTTGTGCAAGGAGGAGCAGGAGGAGCACTGCCAGAGCCCTGCAAAATGACCTCCAGCAGGCCACAAATTTGCATGTGTCTGCTCAAATGGTCAGAAACAGACTCCATGAGGGTGGTATGAGGGCCCGACGTCCACAGGTGGGGGTTGTGCTTACAGCCCAACACCGTGCAGGACGTTTGGCATTTGCCAGAGAACACCAAGATTGGCAAATTCGCCACTGGCGCCCTGTGCTCTTCACAGATGAAAGCAGGTTCACACTGAGCACGTGACAGACGTGACAGAGTCTGGAGACGCCGTGGAGAACGTTCTGCTGCCTGCAACATCCTCCAGCATGACCGGTTTGGCGATGGGTCAGTCATGGTGTGGGGTGGCATTTCTTTGGGGGGCCGCACAGCCCTCCATGTGCTCGCCAGAGGTAGCCTGACTGCCATTGGGTACCGAGATGAGATCCTCAGACCCCCTGTGAGACCATATGCTGGTGCGGTTGGCCCTGGGTTCCTCCTAATGCAAAACAATGCTAGACCTCATGTGGCTGGAGTGTGTCAGCAGTTCCTGCAAGAGGAAGGCATTGATGCTATGGACTGGCCCGCCCGTTCCCCAGACCTGAATCCAATTGAGCACATCTGGGACATCATGTCTCGCTCCATCCACCAATGCCACGTTGCACCACAGACTGTCCAGGAGTTTTGACTTGTTTTAAGGACATTACATCAAAGTTGGATCAGCCTGTAGTGTGGTTTTCCACTTTAATTTTGAGGGTGACTCCAAATCCAGACCTCCATGCAAATTTGATTTCCATTGATAATTTTTGTGTGATTTTGTTGTCAGCACATTCAACTATGTAAAGAAAAAAGTATTTAATAAGAGTATTTCATTCATTCAGATCTAGGATGTGTTATTTTAGTGTTCCCTTTATTTTTTGGAGCAGTGTAAATTGAAAAGACGATATCACTGGAGTCATTGCAAATCAATTTGTGCCACATCCGTTGTGGCAAACGGATTGAATAAATAGCCTATAACTCTGTTGTTGTAGCTGTGTGTTATTATGCAATTATTAATGGCCATGTTTAGTTAATTAAATTGGAAGTTATCAATTGTGATCATGGTCACAGCTCTATAGCAAATGTATCATTCTCCACATTTAATTTCAGTTTCATTGTGGACTTTTCCCTGAAATTATATGTTGGCCTATCAGGGGCTATAGGCTACCTGCATCTAGATCAGCAAACCATGGCAAAATTGCAATTATAAACCCAGATTTTAGTCAGTAGCCTATGCTTATTGAAATAACAAGTCAATCTCGCAAATAGGCCATTTATAACGGTTTGTAGTCTTAACAACTGGCACATAATAACGGCTCAATTGCCGGAAAATAGCCTAACATTCATTTTTTGAAGTTTGTCCAAGTGTTTCATGCACAGAGATTTCGAGATCCTCTGTTCAACTTTCATCACTCAAACTCTTCTGTCGGATGTATCTATAGTTATGCACATGCGCAAACAGGATTTATTTACAATTATAAACTGTGTGGTTTGAGCCCTGAATGCTGATTGGTTGAAAGCCCTGGTATATCAGACGTGTACCACGTCAGTCACTGGCTTCATCAATAAGTGCATCAATGACGTCGTCCCCACAGTGACCGTACGTACATACCCCAACCAGAAGCTATGGATTACAGGCAACATCCGCACTGAGCTAAAGGGTAGAGCTGCCGCTTTCAAGGAGCGGGACTCTAACCTGGACTCTTATAAGAAATCCCGCTATGCCCTTCGACGAACCATCAAACAGGCAAAGAGTCAATACAGGACTAAGATTGAATCGTACTACACCGGTTCTGACGCTCGTCAGATGTGGCAGGGCTTTAAAACTATTACAGACTACAAAGGGAAGCACAGCCGCGAGCTGCCCAGTGACACAAGCCTACCAGACGAGCTAAACCACTTCTATGTTCGCTTCGAGGCAAGCAACACTGAAGCATGCATGAGAGCACCAGCTGTTCCGGATGACTATGTGATCACGCTCTCCGTAGCCGATGTGAGTAAGACTTTTAAGCAGGTCAACATTCACAAGGCCGCAGGGCCAGACGGATTACCAGGACGTGTACTCCGAGCATGTGCTGACCAACTGGCAAGTGTCTTCACTGACATTTTCAACATGTCCCTGACTGAATCTGTAATACCAACATGTTTCAAGCAGACCACCATAGTCCCCGTGCCCAAGGACACTAAGATAACCTGCCTAAATGACTACCTACCCGTAGCACTGACGTCTGTAGCCATGAAGTGCTTTGAAAAGCTGGTCATGGCTCACATCAACACCATTATCCCAGAAACCCTAGACCCACTCCAATTTGCATACCACCCCAACAGATCCACAGATGATGCAATCTCTATTGCACTCCACACTGCCCTTTCCCGCCTGGACAAGAGGAACACCTACGTGAGAATGCTATTCATTGACTACAGCTCAGCGTTCAACACCATAGCGCCCTCAAAGCTCATCACTAAGCTAAGCATCCTGGGACTAAACACCTCCCTCTGCAACTGGATCCTGGACCTCCTGACGGGCCGCCCCCAGGTGGTAAGGGTAGGTAACAACACATCTGCCACGCTGATCCTCAACACAGGGGCCCCTCAGGAGTGTGTGCTCAGTCCCCTCCTGTACTCCCTGTTCACCCATGACTGCATGGCCAGGCACGACTCCAACACCATCATTAAGTTTGCCGACGACACAACAGTGGTAGGGCTGATCACTGACAACGATGAGACAGCCTATAGGGAGGAGGTCAGAGACCTGGCCGTGTGGTGCCAGGATAACAACCTCTCCCTCAACGTGACCATGACAAAGGAGATGATTGTGGACTACAGAAAAAAAAGAGGACTGAGCACGCCCCCATTCTCACCGACAGGGCTGTAGTGGAACAGGTTGAGAGCTTCAAGTTCCTTGGTGTCCACATCACCAACGAACTATCATGGTCCAAACACACCAAAACAGTCGTGAAGAGGGCACGACAAAGCCTATTCCCCCTCAGGAGACTGAAAAGATTTGGCATGGGTCCTCAGATCCTCAAAAAGTTCTACAGCTGCACCATCGAGAGCATCCTGACTGGTTGCATCACCGCTAATCATGGCTACACAGACTATTTGCACCCCCACCCCATCTTTTTACGCTGCTGCTATTCTGTTAATTATTTATGCATAGTCACTTTAACTCTAACCACATGTACATACTACCTCAACTAGCCGGTACCGGTACCCCCCTGTATATAGCCTCCCTACTGTTATTTTATTTTACTTCTGCTCT